GAAAACACATACAATTACATATTGTTTTTGTGATTAATCACTATGCTTTAGTTATGTTCAATTTGTAACAATGAAAATACATCCTGCATATCAGATATTTACATGACAATTCATAACAGTAGCAAAATTACAGTTATGAAGTAGCAACGAAAATAATTTTATGGTTGGGGGTCACCACAACATGAGGAACTGTATTAAAGGGTCGCGGCATTAGGAAGGTTGAGAACCACTGTTCTAGAAGCTCCAATTCCAGCACCTTCTGAGAATCTTTAAAAATCTAGTTTTTACCTCCCAAGGTCTGAGTAACTTGAGTCTCAGCAACTCAGTGGTGTCCCACCAACTTCCACCTGAGCACAGGTGGCCAGTCGGACACATTTGGGGACGTAAGAAAGTCGGAGGCTCGGGCAGGCTGCTTTTGCGATGGGCGTGTATCTGCAGATTGCGTCCCCTTCTCGCGTGGCCGAGCTCGACCGACTGCGCTGGCAGGGAAGGCCCTGAGCCAGCCCCATCTGTTTCCATCTGTCGTTTGCTTCCCATGGTGGGAGGTGCAGCAAGTGTAAGACCACAAAGCCAGGCAATAAATATGGAAATGTGGGTTGGGACTTTGTGTTTGTGCCCAGAGAGGCCCAGGAATTTGCCCACTTTTAACATGATTTCAAGCCATGATGACAATCTGCTCCCTTTAAAAGCAGGAATCAAGGGCCTCTCTAATCGGGAGCAGGTTTGTGATGTGACCCTCAGAGGAAGCAAGAGAGGGAGGGGGAGAGGGGAGGGAAGAGGGAGAAAGAGAGGGGCTTCAGAAATGGGAGGAGCAGAAGTTGGATAGCTGAGAGGAGAACGGGAATGTAAAAGACCACCTGATAAGATCTAACAAGTAAAGATGACAGGTTTGCTTAACTCGGCCCACCGAGTAGAAATTGAAAGTAGCAGGAAGAAAATACCTCCACAATGAAATCAGTTACGCCGAGTAGCACACCTTCATACTCTCGGATGGTTGAGTAGCACACCTTCATATTCTCCACTCTTCACTAGGAGGCACCACGCTTCCTCCCATGCAGAGAGACATTTCCTCCTCATGAGGACTTGCCCACGCAGCCAAGGGAAGGTGGGTCTCGCCCTCATCGGAAGCCAAACAGACTCTCCTCTCGTTTGAATTTCAAAAATGACGGTAAATCCCACCCATCCCAGCACAGGGACAGCTCGTGTGCATTGGACATTTACTGTGACCCGGGCACCCTGCTGAGTGTGTTACATGAACTGATCCTCACAACAATCAGATGAGGAGGGTCCCATCACTAACACAGTACCCAGGCACGTGGTGTGTAAATGCGGAGGCCAGGATTCAGACCCGAGGCTTGTGTCCCCACGGCCTCGCTCTGAACCGCTGTGCAAGCTGCACGCCTTGCCGCTGGAGCCCTGGTACCCTGAGCTACACCCGTTCCTCTGTCCCTGACTCTGACCCCTTGGCTTTCTCACCTTTGGAGACATACAATACAACGCTACAGTGGTTCCCTAGGAACAGAGCCTGAGCCTGGAGTGGTGATTTGGGGCGGGTGATGTATTGAGGGAGCGCTCTCAGGAGGAATTATAAGAGAGTAAGAGACAATGTAGAGTGGAGGGGAACAGTACGGGGGTGTGTGATTTCAGAAGTCTTGCCTCTGTCTGACCCAGGGGAGCTCTGGAGTGTGAATTGCATCAGAGTTTATCCCACTCAGAGACAGGGAGGCTGGGTCCTCACCCTCGTCCGACATCCTCGCCTGCAGCTCACACCCGAATGGGTGGGAGGACATAACCTCCCGGGCAGCTCCCCAGAGCCAGGGCAATGCTCCAGAGAAAGGTGCAGCCAACACCCGCAGCACCCAGGAGATGGCGCACCGTTCTGGTAAAGGGGCCACAGACAGTGTGCCCATAGCCTCTGCTACAGTGGTGACTGCAGAAATAAATAAATAAATAAATGGCATATGAGCCACACAAAACACACCTGCTGGACCTTTTCATCCAGCGTGGCTGTCTTCACCCTCTGAACACTCCCAGAATCCAGGTCCAATGAATGAATGAATTAGAAGTCATATCAGTGAATGAATGAATTAGAAGTCATTGTGTCCCCTGCAAGACTGTCCCCGCCTTTTTTGGGGGGGAGGGGCTCGTCTGCATGGCACAGACTTAGTGGATAGCCAACATCCACCATTCTACCTCCAACTATTGTCTGAACGACAGCACAAAATATTAACTGAAACACAAACATGTCCTTTGGGGTTTTGTTTTGATGGGCCACTGCCTCTAGTGGTGTGAGAACAGGCAATAAGAGTGGTGGACATTTTTTAATTTTCAGCACAAAAGAACGTATTGACCCAAGGTTACCAAAAATTGAAAATAAAATACAAAGAGGGCAACCGCTGAGCCCAAAGCAGCGTATCTGATTGACAGTGTGTCTGACAGTCACATGGTCCCGTCACAGCTAAAGGGGCTCGGGGTGGGGGGTGGGTTCTTCCCTGGCTCCGCCAATGCATCTGAAACGGGTAGCTCTGGAATTGCACCCATATTGATTTTTTTGTTGCTTGTTTGCTGTGCAGTCTCTTTTAAAAATAACTGAATCTAATCCTGTTGGGGTCAGCATAACAGGAATGTAATCATCTGTTCCTGGGGATAAAATGAAATCTGGTCCAAAAAGACTCTTCCAACGTTCTATTTCAGTTTTTCGGAGCAGGTTTTCGGCTTTAATGATAAGTGGAAGCCTCCGTTCCGATGAAGGTCTTGCCGCAGCATGGCGGCCTTCCTGCTCTCCTTTGCTTGTTTCCAAAGAGACCTCTCGCTTCCCAGTTGTCCAGGCATCCTTGTCACCTGAGGTGTTGTTTCTCCTCAGGTCTGCGGATCTGCTACCGCCTTGTGTTTTTCCTGTACAGATAGGCCCATATGCCTTTTTTTTTTTTTAACTCCACACAACATCCCAGGTGGGGAGCACGTGTTGGATGCGAGAGCGCTGTTGTGAGGGGCAGCCATCGGCAGACCTCCCCAGCGTCTCTCTGACCCGGGGTGATGTATTTTAGTAAGTGCTCCGGCCCGTCCTCTGCTGGTTTTCACTGTCCCTGGCTGCCCAGGCTGAGTGCTGAGTGCTGCCTCATATTAATTGTCAGCGCCAGTCCTTAGCCATCATGTTGCCATGCCTACCCATGGTGGGTTCTAAATCTGACTGTACATTAGAATCACCTGGGAAGACTGTTAAACATCTAACTCCTGTCCTGGCCAGTGTGGCTTAGTGGTTGGAGAGCCAGCCCATGCTCTGAAGGGTCTGGGGTTCGATTCTCGGTCTAGGGCACGTACCTGGGTTGCAGGTTCAACCCCAGCCCCCAGTTGGGGCACGTGTGGGAGGCAATCGATAAGTCTGTCTCACATCGATGTTTCTCTCTTTGTCTCTCTCACTCTCTCCCCGCTCCCTTCCACTCTCTCTCAAAAAAATAAAAAAATCAATTGAAAAACTCTATCCTCAAATGAGATTAACAACAACAAAAAATCTAACTCCTGGGCCTTCCCTGAGACCTGCCGAGTCAGAGTGTACCCATGGATGAGGTTCAGGAATTTTTATTTTAATGAGCTCCCCAGCACCTATCCCAACACGGGTCCTCTGCCCAGAATGGTGTGGTTTCTGCCTAAGGTGAGGTCACCTAGAGACATCCGGCCTGGAATAAGCCAAACGGAAGGCCACGGTGGAAGGTGAAAAGAGCTTTTCCACTCTTCTCCAAGGCCACGGGCAGCGGATGGGGAGAGGGACGGGGAAGGGAGGTGCAGAACAGCCACATTATCCTGCAGGCCACTTACCGCTTCTCATTCAACCATCCATCCATCCATCCATCCATCCATCCGACATGTGTCCATTCAACCAGACATAGTGAGCTCATGCTGTAGGTGAAGGACCCTGCGTTATGGGGGCTCTAACGTGGGAACAACTTGGTTCCTGCCCCGAAACAGCTCACGGTTCTGAGGATGGTGCTAAGCCAGGGTTTTCCCAAAGGGAAACTGGACTGTTCTCTCTTCTTAAAAAGAACAAGCAGTAATTATGTAAAAACTTCCCTTTAAAATTCACCTATTAATGAACACCTATCACTGCATACTCATTTGAATGGTTAAAAAGAAAAGGACTGAGTACCAAGTGTGGGTGAGGATGTGGACCAACAGGGGCCCCCCTGCCCTGTGGGTGGTGGTATAAATGGTGTAAATCCACTTTGGAACACTGCTTAGCAGTTTCCTTTCCTGTTAAACATACATATACCATACAAGCCAGCTGTTTCCCCCCTAGGAATTTACCCAAGAGGAATAAAAACATGTGTCCACACAAAGACCTACAGCAACTTTATTCATAGTATTAAAAGCTGGTGCCCAGCTGCTGTGGCTCAGTGGCTGAATGTCAACCTATGAACCAGGAGGTCAGGGTTCAATTCCTGGTCAGGGCACATGCCCGGGTTTCGGGCTCGATTACCAGTAGGGGGCATGCAGGAGGCAGCCGATCAATGATTCTCATCATTGATGTTTCTATCTCTCTCTTCCTCTGTCTTCCTCTGTGAAATCAATAGATTAGATATAGATATAGATATAGATATAGATATAGATATAGATACTTAAAGCTGGATACAGCCGAGGTGTCTGTCAATAAGAAAATGGATAAACACACTAGTCAGCTATTATTGCTCAGTGATTAAAAGAACAGACTACTGCTCTGGCAACAACATCTGTGAATCTAAAAGCATCCCAGTGTTCTGTCCAGCCGGTGTGGCTCAGTGGTTGAGCATTGACCTGTGAACCAGGTCATAGTTCAATTCCAGACTGGGAAGGGTGGTCAGCAACCTTTTAGGAGAAAGTGAAAGTCAGCTAAGATTTGAGCAAGTCCCTTCTAGGCCTGCTGGTCTAGGATTTGGAATCAAGAGCCCACCCAGGCGCTGACTTGCGCCTGCTGGTGTGACGGTGACTTCCCCGTGAGTTTGTAGATTGTGATGAGGCTGAGGAAGCCCTCCTGTCCCAGATGGAGTCCATCCGGGGCCTCAGCCTCCGCCAGCTCACCAGCGGTCTCCGAGATAGAATCCCCTGAGATTGATCTAAGTGATTTTGTTAAGTAAGTGCAAAGCCAGAATGGAATTTTTTAAAATAGCATTCTTCTCTCTGCACTTACTTACGTTCTCAAACTCATCCCTCATGTATTCATTCAACCACTCACCAGCCCACAGTTTAACAAGCGCCTTCCGTGTGTCAGGCCCTAGACTAGAAGTCACCTCTGCTCTCAGGAGGCCATACATAGCCTCCTGGGTCCTGGGGGACTGAGCCCTTCCTACCATGGTGCCCGCTCCATCTGCCCCAGGCCTACCACCAGGGTCAGGTCAAGGTTAGCCAGCAGAAAGGGATATGACAACTGGTCAAGCTTTACATCCTCACAATAAAATGCTCCAGTAAACGATGCAGCTTAACATTGAGCACGGGGGACACATCCAGATTACCCGGAGGATGGCCAGAGCCCCAGGGCCTCCCGGAGCTTTTTATAAGGTGGAACGCAGACTTGATAGGCCGGGAAAGAGGGGTTGGGCCTACAGGAAGTCGATCGGTCTGGTGCCCTGCCCTGCTTGCCTGGGGCGGGAGTGGCAGAGTGCTGCTCTCGGAGAAAGGCGTCCTGGAGTGAGAGCCCACTTGTTCGGGGCACAGTGGTGGAGGGAGGAAGTCGGGGTGACCGTGTTGTGATGACTGTCACAGCAGTGACTCTCCACATTTCATTCACTCCCAGGTCTACCCTTGTAGAAGAAGATACTGGGTCTGAAGAAGGAGAACACAGAAGAGCAGAAGCGCCCGAGCTGCTCAACTCAGATGTACGCTTTCCTTTGCCTGGGGCGGGGCGGCACGTCGAGGGCCCTTTCCGTAAAACAGAGGCAGGAGCAGGTCCAGGAGCAGAGTGGCAAGGGGGCGCCGGGGTTTGGCCGTGACGAGGCTGCGAAACTTTATCCGGGTCACCTCCCCAACCAAACCCCCACAGAGCCAACACCTCAGTGAGAGCCCAGACACCGCAGCCAGCAAATGTTCTCTATGATGGAAAAGCCAGTGACCTCGTGCTCTTCCCAGCCCCTAGAGGAGCCTATAAGAGGAGAAATATTTTCCTCAGTAATTTCACAGTAAAAACAAAGAGGAAATCAGGGGATTTTACATATTCATGCCCTTAAATTCTCCTAGAATAATGACTCAAGCAAATCATTGGAGATGCATAGATTTGCATACAAAGATGTTTGTTATAACACTTTAGAAATAGCAAAAATTGGAAAAATAAATGATTGTATGTCCATGAGGATAGACGACTGTGGTGGCAGAGTGGGGGTCAGCAAGCATTGTCGCCCTCTGTAAGTAGGAGAATGAGTTGGCAGTACCTCGTGACATACGATTTGGCAGGAGTATCAGAATTTAAAATGCACACTTCCTCTGCGGGGATATTATTCTCCAGACACACCTTTACATTTACATCAAGACGTGTAATTGTTCTCGTACGTTGCAGCACTTTTGGTAAAAGCAAGAAAAATTGCAACGGCTCCACAATACGAGACCAGTTGAATAAACCCAATTATGTCTGCAGAAGAATTATACTATGAAATTCTTTTGCAGAAAATAAGAACGTTTTTTATATATTCACTGGGAGCAATCTCTGATATGTTAAGTAAAAAATACCACATGTTCTATTTTTGTTGTTGTTATTCCTCACCCGAGGGTATTTTTCCATCGATTTTTAGAAATAGAGGAAGGGAGGGAGAGAGAGAAACATCGATGTGACAGAGATACATCAATTGGTTACCTCCCGCACGTGCTCTGACCAGGCCGGGGATCGAGCCTGCAACTGAGGTTCGTAGGTGTGCTTGACTAAAATAGAACCTGGGACCCTTCAGTCCATGGGCGGATGCTCTAGCCACTGAGCCAAACCAGCTAGGGCCATTTTTAAAAAATTATTTTAAGTGATACTTGTGAAGAATATTTAGTTACATGGGGAAGCAGCACTCATGTCAACTGAAAACTCAGAATATAAATATATATACAAATATACACACATATATTCATATATCTATAGTATAATGGTTGATTTGTATTTCCCTATTTGAATGTTTCTGTATTTTTCAAATTTTTTAGAATGAGTATGTGTTTGTATATAAAACACTTGTTTTTGAAATGTTAATTTTTTTTTCCTATGGCCAAAGATGTTTGTCAGAGAAAACTCAACAGAAAATTGAAAGCAAAAATCCTCAAAAATCCCACCATTTATAGAAAAATATTACTGAAATTTTAGCAAACAGCTTCCCAGATATATCTATTTGCCTATGCAAATCTCTGAATGAATTTACACATGCTCACATCTTCCAGGGTGATACAATGGCATGTCTCATTTTACATAAATGGAACTGCTTCTTCACTCAGAAATCTGTTGTGCACATTATTTCTAGTCCATAAATACACATTGCATCATCCTTCATGAGTAGAGTACCACACACACTTCATTTAAAGCGATCCCTTATTGATAGGCATTTAATTGGCTTCCAAAGTCTTGCTACTTTAAATAACGCTGCAGTAAACATCCCTGTACATACATTTTAGGCAATTGTCCAATTATCTCCATAGGAAAAAAAATGTATTACAGTAATACTTCAGAGATATGGCAGTTCTTTCCAGACCACCACAATAAAGTAAATCTATTATATAAAAGCCAAGTGACCCAAACAACCGGTCGCTATGACACACACTGTGGCCAGCCAACCAGCCCGATTGGGGGCGGGGCTGACCAGCCAACCTCCTGCAGCCCCTCCCCCTGGCTGGCCCCACCCCAATGGACCCCAATCGGGGCAGGCCAGCTGGACCCAACCTGTGCACGAATTCACGCACCATGCACCGGGCCTCTAGTAAAAGTTATATTTACACTATAGTGTAGTCTATTTAGTGTGCAATAGCATATGTATGAAAAGAAACAATATGCATACCTTAATTAAAAATTACTTTGTTGCTAACAATTGTTAACCTCTCTGAGCCTTCAGGGAGTCATAATCTTTTTGCTGGTGGAGGGTCTTACCTTCAATTTGTAAAAAAAAAAAAAAGCAAGCAATATCTGCAAAACACAATAAGCGTAAGGCGCACTAAAACGAGATGTGCCTGTATTCTTAAAATATACACAACATGCTTCATTTTTCTTTGTGATGGGGAGGAGCACATCGACGACCCCATTGTACCTGCTGGCTAACTTTCCCTCACACTCTAATTTTGAGGGATTAAAAGGGAACCCTGCTGAAATAGAGAGAATAGACCCAAACCAGAGCCAGCTGGAGTTTCGGGAATCCCTATGGCTCTCCGCACGGGAAGAGAGCCTTTCCGTTGGGATAGAAGAAGTAGCATCTCCTGGGCACCAAAGTCATCTCACACTAAACCTTCTTACTGAGCAAGAGCAAGCTGCCCCAAGGTCAATGTTTAAATCTTGCCAGAAAATAAAATAAATCTTGCCAGAGCACTATGACCGCCATGACCAGCCTGTATTTTCAAGGTGCAGGGCTTGTCACCCGGCACGGAGTCAAACAAGTTAAAGTGAGGAAATGCTCTGAAAATGGCCTGGACTTTAACTTACCTTTGTTGGCTCTCCATCCCGGTCGATGCGCTCATCCGGAATGACTTTCTCTGCAGGTGTTTGACATTCTGCCCCTCTATGGAGAGCTGCAGCCGTACAGCAGCGACCAGATAGCTTTCACCTTCTACGGACACTGTGACATCATCGCGCAGGCGACGGCTCTGTGCAAAGTGGAAGGAGGGCCCAACTATGAGATAACGCTACGGGGGGAGACATCCGTGGTCAGCTATTCCTTTGACACCAAGGACATCAACTATGGGCTACAGGTACCGCCACCATCAGGAGGCTTTCTGCTTTTGTCTTAAACACCAGGCATCATCCTTGTGCTCTGATCTCCCTGGAACCCCCGATCATCATAGTCTCACCATCACTCCTATCCTTGACCTCTCATCTGTCCCCCCCCCCCCCCACTCAACCCTGGTCATCCTCCCACTGCCAACCGTTTGCCAAGTGTCTTCGCTTGCTTTTCTCAACGTCTCCTGAAATTCAGCATGTCAGACGCTAAAATGTGCATCTTCTCTCTCAGTCCACAAGCTCATCCCAACCTCTCTGTTTCTCTCAGTGACACGCTACCGTCTCAGCCCCTGGAGGTTACGGTCTCCACGGCATTTCCGCTGCACTCTCTCCTTCACCTCCCCGCAGCCTTACAGCACCCATGGATTGCTGATTCCTCCAGCAATCGATTTTCCTTCCCCGCCCGCCACTGTGGTTATCACACTGCAGAGTCCCATCAGGCCACGCCTAAATTATTACAGCAGTTTTTCTCAAACTGTAATGTGTGTACGAATCACCTGGGAATCTTGTTCAAGTACAGATTCTGATCCAGTAGATCCCAGGGGTGGGAAGGGGGCGCTGAGAATCAGCGTTTCTAACAAACTCCCAAGTGATGCCTGTGCCACTGGTCCCCGGACCCCAGGGAAGTGAGGGATTACAACCCATGCTTAGCTCCTACTGCTAACCCATTTCAACATCATTGCCAGACAGATTGTCCCCAAATTGCATGTTTATCCCATCAATCCCTGAACAGTTAACCCAGCAGCATTTGGGAAGGCCTCATAGTATTGAGGAAATAGTATCGTTTTGTAGTCGGAAGAACTAGGATGTCATCCTGGTTTTACTTCCTAATGGGTCACCTTGGGCACATCACCTAACCTCCCCAAACCTCCGTGTCCCTCATCTATGCAACGGGAATGGGGTAGCAATGCCTGTCTCACCAAGTGGTTGTGGTTGCTTAAGTGGCCGGTCAGTGCTGTGCTGGGCCAGAGAAGGCCTTCAATCATGAGTCCCTTCCTCTGTCGCCCATAACATCGCCACTGCAGGCACCTATATTGGGTAAGGGTATCCCAAGGCCCCCTATTACCTGCTGCCCCTTACATTAAACTCTGTTCTTCATCACTCCCTGTTATAGCTCTTCATTCATTTGGGGCCGAGCTGTTTTACCCCCTGGCCCTAATGCATCCCAGCCCTTCAGGCCTGCACACTTACTCTTAAATTATTCCACTCATCCTCCACCCTGCAGCCCAGACTTATACAAACTGTAAGGCCCAGCTCAGCTCCATCCCTCACTTGTCTTTCTCTTACTTGATATTCTCCGAGCACTAAAGTATAGTCTTTGCCATAATATAATGTACCTTCTAATTTTTGCTTTGGGGTAATTGCTAGTTAATTCAATGTCTTTACATCTTCTCTTCCCAATTAGGCTTTGTGTTATGTACTCAGAGACGATATTTCTAGCAAATTTTAATGGGGATTGGATCCCCATAATATAGCTACTGCAGTTATAATTACTGAATCGCATATGTGTATGTGTGTCTATAGGTTAAGGATTGTGGCTAAAATCAAATCCACCCAACACCTTTTGAGACCTTTTTTGTTGCACTGACCAAACAGAATCCTCTTTCATTCCTTATCTCCAGGGTCCTCTGGGCACTTGGTCCTGGCTCAGCTCAGAGTGTATTTTTTAAAGCAGCTAGTCCTTGCCCTGTCTTGTCCTAAGGACCCCTAAGGTGGCCTTAGTTTGTGGTTATTGGACTTGCTGGTTAGTTGCTGAATTGTGTGAGCAAAATAATTCAGGTCTGGCCTATTATTCCCATGTCTCGCCATATAAATAGAAAAGTTCATTCTAGAAAATTCTGAACAAATCTTTTTTTAAAAAAAAAAAAGAAGAAGAAGCAAATCTTGGTTTGGTGTAGAAAAGCTTACTTTAAGATCCTCCAATATGAGGTCTTTGTGGTGAAGAAACTGAAGGCTGGGGAGATGAGATGCTCACCCCACAGTCATACTGACCTATATGAGTTGTTAGGAGCACTCAGGTAGAGCTAGTCGGCACCTTTCTGTGATACTGAAATGAGGACTGGCAGCGTCTACATCCTGAGAGAGAAAATCCGTGCCTGTGAGGCATGTTTGTCCAGCCACCTTTGTTAGGATGACGGCAGCATCCCAAAGGACGGTGACGCAGGGGGCACTGTTTTCCTCCTCCTCCTCAAGCTGTTCGACCGGATCACAGAGACTAAAGTCACACTGAAGAACACGGGGAAAGTCGGCTTCGAGTTCAGGGTGCTGACCAATGACCAGTCTTCGCCAGACAGCCTCATGCCCGGAGTGCCACTCATCCTGCCTCTCTCAGTGAGTAGCCACCTGAGGATGGTCAGAGGAGCCCCAATTCAAACCTTCAAGACAACCCAGAGCCAGGTCACGTTACACTAAGCCAGTGGTTCTCAACCTTCTGGCCCTTTAAATACAGTTCCTCATCTTGTGGTGACCCCAACCATAAAATTATTTTCGTTGCTACTTCATAACCGTAATGTTGCTACTGTTAGGAATCGTCATGTGAATATCTGATATGCAGGATGGTCTTAGGCGACCCCTGTGAAAGGGTCGTTCGACCGCCAAAGGGGTCGCGACCCTCAGGTTGAGAACCGCTGCACTAAACGTTCACGGCCAGGATGATGGGAGTGATATTTTTAAAATTAAAATTAAAGAGCTCTCAGAAGCAGGAAAAATAAATCAATCCAAGCACTTCACTCATTTACTCAACAAGTATTGACGGAGTCCTGCATTCCCCAGGCACCATTCAAGCACCAGGGGTCCAATAGTGAAAAAGACAATACAACCCCATGGGTGTTTTTTCATAATTATAAGATAGATTTTTCCTTTTTATTCTTTTGTTGTTGTTGTTGATCCTCACCCAAGGATATTTTTCCATTGATTTTTAGAACGAGAGGAAGGGAGGGAGACAGAGAGAGAAACATCGATGTGAGAGAGACACATCAATTGGTTGCCTTCTGCACACACACCCCAACCAGGGCCAGGGATGGAGCCCACAACCAAGGTACACGCCCTTGACCAGAATCAAACCCAAGACCCTTCAGTCTGCAGGCTTATGCTCAATCACTTGCCAGCTAGGGCAAGATAGTTTATTTCTATTTATGTCCTCACACTTCCCTTGTGATTCCTTGAAGCTAAGGGCCTCCTGTCCGTTGACTACAACAAGAGCAATTTTTCATTAGCAGGTATGAAAACAACAGGAGGCTGCAATGGGCCAAATTGGTTTTCAAAGCAAATGGAGGAAGTAGTTTCTTGTACATTGTATGTGGATCTACCAGCTTTAAGGCACTTTTGTTGACGTTTTTTCATCATGAAAATAATTTTCATCATGAAAATAAATCCTGGGGGAGGAATGTGAGTGGAGTATACCCAGCACCGTAGGCCCTTGGGGTTATCTAGTCCATCAAGCCGCCAGGAGCAGGAGGCCATTGTACCAATTTGAACGTTCTCTCTGGTCTTTCTGCTGCGCAGGGTTTTATCAGTTCACTTAAAGAGCAGGAGTTGAAGATTTACTACTTACCTGGAGGACCTGAGATCTTTCAAAGAAGTTTTCAGGTCCAGATCGCCCACCTGGACCCAGACACTATCACACTGAGTGGCGAGGGAATCTTTCCTCGAATCTACATCGACCTTCCCAGAAACCTCAAAGGTACCGCTACCCGCTTCCGTGGTTCCCCACGGGGGACAAAATATGCATTTTGCTTTGCTTGCTGGAATGTGGAAGGCTGCTCACATCATTGTCCGGGCGGTCCCTACTCGTTCCCTCCTGTGTTACTCCTCCGCTGCAAGAAAGTCAAGAGTTGAAATTGACGTGGAGGCCTGAGTTCAGTGAGATGAGACGTGGCCCTGGCAGTCGCACATTAAGACCCCTGGTCAACGTTGCCATCACTGAGGCCTCAGGAAGTTGCTCTTCCAACTGCCTTTTCTTCCAGCGCATGTTCCTTCCAACTGTAATCTCCCTCCGAGTTGTCCTTCCCCAGTGGCACCCTCACAGGTGCCCACTGAGAACCTGAAGGCTGATTTTACTGCCCCGAGTACAATTCTCAAAAACTAAACTGTGCTGAAAGGCAGCCAAGGTTCTGGTCCCTTTTCGGTATGGCGGAGTTTGGAAGCTCATTGAGACTGTTGTTAATTGCCTGCCCACGTCTCTAGCCAAGACTTCCTGATAGCATCTGGCCTCCCTCGGTACCAGAATATTTCTGTCTTGGCAGATCCGGAAGGTGATCCGCTCTGTTAGAGCCGTAGACTCTGGTTCTTTCTTGCTGGACCAGAGGCCAGAGAAACTTCACTCTTCTCCGTGGAAACGTCCCTCTTCTTCATGAGTCCCTCTGCAAGCTCCTAAGCAGCTTCAGACTAAACCGTCACACCTCCGCCTTTCCTGCCACCCCACCCCCCAACGTCACTAACTCAACTGTTGATGATCCTCTATGACAGTGGTTCTCAACCTTCCTAATGCCGCGACCCTTTAATACAGTTCCTCATGTTGTGGTGACCCCCAATTTCATTGTTACAAATTGAACATAATTGAAGCATAGTGATTAATCACAAAACAATATGTAATTATATATGTGTTTTCCGATGGTCTTAGGCGACCCCTGTGAAAGGGTCGTTCGACCCCCTAAGGGGTCGCGACCCTCAGGTTGAGAACCGCTGATCTATGAAATCCTAATAGTCTGCTCTCTGGAAATATGAACACAAACATTAGTAAAACGAAGGCCATGTTGCATCCTAGCATCTAGAGTTCCAGCGGGCAGAAGGCAGCCCAAGTCCACATAAAATTGTCAGGAAGGAAGCTGAACACTGACCTCCTCTGGCCTCCTCTGGCAGCAGACATGCTCAGGCCAGTACAGGCTTTAAAATCATTGAAATCTGAGTGCCGTTAGCTGGGCCGTTCCCCGAAGTCCCCCGGCTTGCCGTCGCTTCCTAAAAGGCACTGTAATGACTTTGCCTGCCTTGCACAGCTTCCTGGTGAACTTGGGGGTCTGGAACCTCTCCACCACTTGCCTGCCCTCCCTGATTCTGGGGATTGTAGCTTAGTTAGCTGTCATTAAAGCAACTTGAGATTTAATACACACAAAAACTAGTTGAAAGGGTGACCAGCTGTCTGGGTTTGTCCAGCCTGAGGGATTTCCCTCGTTGTGCAGCTGTGCGTGCTAGAACTGGGAGTGTACCAGGTAAGCTGGGATCCAGGCGGTCAACCTACTAGTAAGACCGGCTTAGGATGTCACTGCCACCAGCTTCTTGAGAACCAGCTGGTCCTAAAGCATCATCGCATTAAACTCAGTGGGGTCTCCGGCACAAATCCAGCTCGCTCCCCAATGACCTCGTCCTCTAAAGCAGGGAAAACATGGCAGAGGAGGCACCAAAAGAGTTCATTTCCCTCCTCACTTTATTTAACCTGAGCTAAGGGTCTGTGTTTGGGACATAATTCATATGTTTCTAACCATCCTGGTTTTCTTCTCCTCCCAATCCCCACAGGGAATGAAAAGTATGAGATCTTCTTGAATCAGGCCAGAGAAAACCTAGAAAACGAATTAGACAAAGATGAAACATTGAGTCACTCAGAGACCTCTGAGGAAATGTCTGAGGATGAGCCTTTTAAGGTAAGACTAGCCTCACTTTGCACAGAATGTATGTGGCGTAAGGACAGTATGTGCAAAGGCCCAGGGGCAGGAAGGACGTGGGAAGGAGGAAAAGGTATAGCAAAGACGGGGTGAGGTTAGAGAACCAAGATGAGCCTGAAGAGATAGGCAGCCCGCTATTGAACCTATTGAGGGTTGTGAACTTCATCCTGAGGGCCCCAGGAAGGCACTGTGTTTCCACAGAGGCCGTGCATTATTGTATTTTGCATCTTTTATTTTAAATCTGCTGATGGCCCAGAAAGTAGGGAGAATTGAGCATCAACAAAGCTGATGGCCCAGAAAGTAGGGAGAATTGGGTGAATTCAAGAAATATTTTGGAGGCAGGTTGGTCAGGGATTGATCGCATGTTGGAGTGAGGAGGAGGTGACTTTCAAGTGATGTGCTTGGGTGACAACGTAAGGAGGGGACAGGGAAATGAGTTCAAGTGGTCCATGATTACACCTGAGATTTCTGTGCATCCTCCAAGTAGACGTATCCGTGATTACACCTGAGATTTCTGTGCATCCTCCAAGTAGAGGCATCCAATAGGGAGCTGGACCCACTGCTATGGACCTGGGGAGAGAGAGAAGTTGGAGAAGGTGATGTGAGAGTTATCAGATGGTCACTGTAATCACAGGAGATAGGGAGTTTCCCAGGAAGTGTACTGAGGGATGAGGGAAGAAGATAAATTCAGGGTAAAGGCCTCAGGCACCCACCAGCAACGTGGGGGAGAGGGACAGCCAAAGGGCTCTGGGACAGTCAGGAGTGTGTGGTGCCTCCAAGGTGGGATCCAAGCCAAGAGGTCTCTTGAGGGAGGGAGGGACCCAGCTTGTAAATAAAGGCTGCCCCGCTGTGGGATAGAAAACAAAATCCCCAAGTGTCCCCTCCCACCATTCCCTGAAACCCCTCTCTTCACCATCCGTTCCTGACCACGAAGGCTGCTTTCTCTCTGTGCCCTTCTTTTAAGACGCAAATGTGCGTGAGAACAGTGTCCTGAGGAAGGATGATGTATGCAGCTGAGAGAGCTTAGCTGGGGTTCTCCAATGGGAAAAAGGGGGATCACTAGGGAGACTGGGAGCCCCACAGGCCACCAGCAATTACTTATTTGCAGACACTGACCGTGAGCCTTAGTTCCAAGGATATAATCATAATTAACAACAACAGCTACCATTGATTGAACTTTGACACCAGGCCTGTGCCGTGCTACGGAGCTGCATTATTATTTCATTAAACCCTCCCATAATGGGGGAAGGGGGGTAAGATGCCATTATTATGTTAATTTCAGTTTTAGAGGACTCATGGAAGTGAAGTGCATTTCCAAGGCAAGAGCAGAGGTAGGGTTTGAATGCAGGTCTGTCCAGTGGACCCCGGGCCTGCCTCAGGGCAGAGGTGCAGCTCCACCTGCTACTGCCTTCCCAGGTGGCTCCTCATCAGAACCTTAGCATGGTTGTGTCTGGCGGTTCCTCCAGACATGGGGTGGGGTTTCCGAGGATGTGATGGCAGGGGCAGAGCAAGCTAGTCCTCCTGCATAAGCCAGTGGTCAACTGACCACAAGTGGCTCAGGAGCCAGGCATAGGGTGGGCTCTGCTGCTCTAGAATCAAGATGGCTGGGAATGCCTGGAGGCGAGGCAGGCTCCTGCACACATAGTCACGGCTCCCACATCTCCCTGTTGTCTCATGACAGGCCCCTTCACACAGTAACCTTTCCTGCTTGGCCCAGGCCTTCTGGTTTGGACCTTTCAGAACAGGATTTTCCAACCATTTTTCACTATCACTCCCAGCAAGACATCTTTTCCTAATACCCCATGAAATGCATGTAGTGTATGTAAACCCTAATCTCTTTGAATAGTTTGGTATTAAATTTTTTCATTTTTATGTTGAAATGATTATAATTCACAGGAAGTTGAGAAAAATATTTTTCCCATTGGTAGCATCTTACATAACTACAGTACAACATCAAAATCAGGAAACCGACATCGGTACCAGCTGCAGAGCTTACTCATCAATTTCATGTGTGCTGGTGTGTGGGCGTGGGGGGATGCGTTTGTGGTTTTTTCATGTGTAGATTTGTGTAAACCACCACCACAGAACTGCTCCTTCACCACAAGGATCCTTGTGCTTGTTGGGGAAACAGAATTAAACAAAATCTCCTTCCAAGACAGAAAATCTCTCCACAAAGATAGATGAAAAAGAAAAAAAAACTTATTATTAAACCAGAATGAGATCTGTGTCACAGGCAGTTCACTAAGAGATTGCAATGACAGGAAGAAATCTCAGCCTCTTATATGTAGCTGAGCAGATGCAACCTGTTGCAGAAATGTTTTCAAGTAAAACAGTAATTAATCCTTAAGTAAGAACTATCACTTGTCCTCATTAGCAGACTTGGCAGCACCATTTGTCAGACACAGTTCATTCTAAAGTCACATGGTAATTGGAGTGACCATCTGGGTTAGCTAATTGGCTTAACCAAAGAAAACCAAACTTCTTGTATTTTTATGACAGGGCTCTCTGACTTTAGGCTCTCACCCTCCCACAGAAACTGGGCGATAGAGCCCTAGCTGGTTTGGCTCAGTGGAGAGAGTGTCGGCCTGTGGACTTAAGAGTCCCGGGTTCGATTCTAGTCAAGGGCACATGCCCAGCTTCCTAAATCCTCAGTAGGGGGCATGCAGGAGGCAGCCTACCAATGATTTTCTCTCATCATTGATTCTCTCTCTCTCCCTCTCCCTTCCTATCTGAAATCAATAAAATATATTTTTTTTAAAAAGAAAGAAAGAAACTGGGCAGTAGGGGCTCCATCCTCCTTGATGATCACATCAAGAAACAGTCCCCAGATCCTTAAGAAAGGCACTTTGAGTTGTAAAGCTGACAAGAGGCTTATATGGCCCTCAAAAAGATTTACATACATTTCAAAGAGGCAGAGAAAGAACTAACAAGTTCTCTAAAGTGAATGCTCTAAGAAGAGGGAATGGGAAGAAGTCTCTTCCCTTCTTTTTTATTTTATTTGCACTTACATCCTACACCTACCCCTAATCTCCCCATCCCTTGCCCCTAGCAACCACTAATCTGTTCTTTACCTCTATACTTTGATCTCAAGAAGACTATCTAATAAAAGAGTAATATGCAAATTGATCATCACTCCAAAACACAAGATGGCCTGCAGGGGAGGGCGGGGAACCAGGCCTGCAGGGGAGGGCAGTTAGGGGCAACCAGGCCTTCAGGGGAGGGCAGTTAGGGGCAATCGGGCTGGCAGGAGAGCAGTTAGGCATCGATCAGGCTGGCAGGGGAGTGGTTAGGGGGTGATCAGGCTGGCAGGCAGAAGTGGTTAGGGGCAATCAGGGAGGCAGGCAGGCGAGCAGTTGGGAGCCAGCAGTCCTGGATTGGAGAGGGTGCAGGCTGCACTGAGGGACACACACACACACACACACACACACACACGTGCACGAATTTCATGCACCAGACCTCTAGTGTTATATAAATAAAATCATACTGTATGTAATCTTTGAGGTTGGCTTTTTTCATTCAGCATGATGCCCTTGAGATCCATCAATATCAGTAGTTCACCCCTTTTTATAGCTGAGACTACTCATGCTATAGATGTACTAGTTGCATACTCCACCCACACCCATGAAAATGTTAATATCACAAATAGACTGCATATCACCCTAAGGGGTGATATTGCCCACACGGAGAATGCATGTTCTAGAAAAGTCTGCTCCTTTGCTCTTCTCTGTTGCTCCAGTTAAGTGCTCAGCTCCAGATGGAAGTAGAGCGACTCATAGTCCAAAACTATACCATGGAACATCAGAAAACAATTATCCACGATCCCATGGACGAAGTCAGCCATCGGAGTCGCCACAGACTAGCCAAGTGAGTGCCCTTCCGTGTTGTTTGTTTCAGAGTCCAGTGGAGCGAGCACTGCTGCCCAGCAGAGTGCTCCCTGGCATGATGGTTGGTCATGCAGGCATGCACTCCACTCCCCTCATGTATCTGCTATCCTTTGGCATCCAGCTAACCAGGCAGGAACCTCCGGCTTTGCCTAGTGGACAGGCCCAGGTTCAGGTTCCTGAGAGCCCACCTTGCAGGTGTTTTGAGATCATGGCTGAAACAACAGGATGGACTTCTGAGGGAAGACGTAGCTGGTTCCTGGTCTCCCCCCTGGGGCCATTCATTGTTCTCAACTCCAGAGCATAGCATGGTGCACAGGAGATGGGAGAGAGCCTCGTGCTCCCTCACTTTTGGAAGAGTGGCTGGTAAGGAGAGCTTGTTGCTCATTTCAGAATCCAGCTGCCGGAGTACATCCTAGACTTTGGCCACATGATCCTTGGCGAATCTCGATCCCACATCATCAAGATCACCAACACCAGTCACATGCCAGTGTCCTTCCACGCGGAAAAGCGCATCCTGCACGACACAGGTAACCAGGCCAGGGAGGCCTTTCCCACTGCACCTGGTCATTTCCAACAGTGACAAGGCCATCTGTCCTGACTTTCTGGAGAAGAGTGTGGATTTCTTCTGGGATCGGCGGAGAGAATTGTCGGGTCGTTCATTGGGTCTTTGAATGGTCATCCTGCCCCAGAGGGGCTTCTAACAAAAGCAGATCTTGTTTGCTATTTCTCTTTCCCACAAAGAAATTTTGTTTGTCTTGGTCCAGGCTTTAGTACTGAGCTAGATCGTGTAAAGCATCTGCCTTACTGCGAAACGGAAACATTTGAAGTGAGATTTGACCAGCAAGGGACCAATCAGTCTGTGGGAAACAAAGAAGCCATTCTGCCCATCAAAGTAAGGTGCACCGCTGGGGCCAGCTGAGCCTTCCCAGCTCCCAGCTGTGCTGGCCGATCACCCCTGGGATGATTCAGTTACTATTTCAGAGTCATGATTCTCCCCCCGCCCCCCCAACCCTATGCCACATGCTATGCTAACAGCAATCTTATGGCCGCTCTAGGTGGTTGGAGGGCCAACAGTTCACATCTGTCTGCAAGCCCAGGTGACCATTCCCACTATGACAATGTCTTGTGAAAAAGTGGAGTTTGCCACAATTCAGTGTGGGCAGTGCCTTGTGGAAACTATTCAGCTCTCCAATCTTCTTCAAGTTCCTTGTGAATGGTTTGTCGTCAGCCATAAGCCATTTAACAAGGTAAGTGAGTTGCGGCCCGTTGATCCCCTTTTTCCGTCTCCATTTCAGCCAGATTTGTAATTCTAGGCGTTCGCTCTCATCATTTCACTCTCCTGCTCAGACTTTCAGGGACAGCCATCACCTCCTGAATAAAATCTACTTCCTTAGCTCGGCACTTGAGGGTCTATCAGGCCATGCCGTCTGGCGAATGTCTTATTCATCTTTGCACCCCTGGTATCTACACATTCCCTGATGCCGGGAAGGCACTTAGTAAATGCAGGTGGAGTGAGCAGAGGCTGGGATAAGTCCATTTTCCCTAGATGGTTATCTAATTGTCTAATATTTATTAACCAGCTGGAGAAACACATGCCAAAGTACTTAAGACGGAAACTCCATACCGAATTCAAGCCAAAGATGCGGATCTTTGAGATCCAGCCCACTACCGGGGTCTTGGATCCTGGTGAGAAGGCCAACGTGCAAGTGAAATTCATGCCCAAAGAAGAGGTAAGCGGGAAAGAAGTGCGGGTCCATTCAGACTTTGCATCTCTGAGCTTTACTCAGAGTCCAGGCTTCGTTGGGTCTCCAGGGAAGCTTGGAGCGACCTGTGCCTTCTCTTCTGATTATGACATGGCCAGTGCTTCTGGTTCACGTCGGAGCTGTGTGGCCTGGAGATGACACTCTGCAATCAGCACATCTCCCTGACGCATCGACTCTGCCAGCAGGCCTGGGTGAATGGCCTCCGGCCTCTGCAATTAGAGGCCGTGTGGCTTTGAGCAGATTACTTAACCTCGCTCAACTTCCGTTTTCTCACAGATAATAGGAAAGATAATAAGAATCCCCTATTGCAATTCTGAATCCAAATAAGCTCCAAAAACTGGGGAAAGTTTTCCTAAGTTTCAGACCCAACCCCATTTGGCAGAAAAACCTCAACTGAACGGACGTGAGACCCTTTATTTATCCCACTTTGTTAGCAGAGTCTAACATTGCAATGCAGAAATATTAATGTGTTTGATTCCAGGGGACCTGCCCCAGGCCCTGCTGAGGCTCTTGGGTAACACGGGGTACCTGTTCTCTATAGAAATCTGAATTTGAATGTGTCTGTCCCCAGGGTTTCAGGTAAGACCTTATCGACTGCAATAGCTACCTCGTAGGGTCATGAAGAATAAGTGAATTAATGTGAATAAAATGGACAGCATACTGCTCTGTATGTAGTAAGTGTCTCAATAACTATTAACTATTATCATTAGTAGTTTTGATAATAATAAGTACCTCCCGGAAGACACTGTCTGGGCCTCACAAACGCTTCATTTGTGAATACCACAGCACAAAGCTACTTCTGACAAAGAATATAGTAAAAACAATAAAAACTTAGAACCAGAGAGGATCTCAAAAGGTTACACTGTGAAGACTTTTGTTCAAAGCTTAAGGCATTTAGGAGACTTTTTTTAAAAATTCTTTTAAAAGAAAACAGCATGCAAGTTTTTAGAATACCTATGGTTTTCCTGGTAATGGCTTTGAGGAAATGTTTAAGAATCTGCAGTGAGAAAGAAAAAAGTGAATGACTTCATATCTGATTCTAAAATAAGAGTCCCTGTTTCTATGACTGGCCGGTGTTCTCAATGGTTAGAGTGTCGGCCCATGCACTGAAGGGTCACAGGTTCGATTCCCAGTCAAGGGCATATACCTGCATTAGAGGTTTGGTCCCCGGGTCCCATCAGGGTACATGCAAGAAGCAACCAATCGACGTGTCTCTCTTTCTCTCTCTCTCCTCCTCCCTCTCTCCCTTCCACGGTCTCTAAAAAACAATGGGAAAAATTTCCTTGGGTGAGGATTAACAAAAAAAAATTAAAATAAGACAAAATAAAATCCCTGTTTCTATTATTATAAAAATATCCCCAACCCTTTTTAAAAGTAAATAGAATTAATATGTTTTTCATTGTTAGAGAATCTTAAGACTGTCAAGGGGCCTACTCAAGATTTTGGTTGTTTTACTGATGGAGGGAAATGTCAGTAAATATAGTTCTTTGTTCGGGCAAATTCCACAAAGATTGAACTGGAATTGGTCAAAGTTAATAAAAATGCCTCCACCGATTGGGAGAGGGATTTATTGGCTATATACAAGTAATTGGTTTGCCCTGCAGCCCATACAGTCCGCACCTATATCTCCGTCAGCATCAGCAGCAGAGAAATCACCGATGTCCATACATACAACTCCTAGGCATTATAACATGTGTTCAGAATACTCCGTGTTAGAAAACAAGGAAATGAATGTTTTAGCAATATTTCCATAAAAAGCAATTAAAACATAGAAGTTTGGGATGGGGCCTGTGAACCCACGTCTTTAAATAGGTCCCTTAGTGAAACCAGAGTAAGATCACTGGCATCACTTATCAAATGGTACTTGGATCGTAATCGTATCAGATGAAGTGAATGCTGTAGCTGATTACCCATGACTTAGCTCTGTGTTCAGAAAATGACAATATGTTCATTCAGATTCTCCAGGAAACAAACCTGGAGACATTTTTTTAATGCAAACAGATTATTTGAGAAGTGTAGGGAATACCGATAGAAACGTAGAAAAAAAGGTCAGGGAAAGGAAGGCAGCTAATAGGATGTGTGAGTGCGTCAGCTACCTTGGAGCCTGGAACTTAATCCCACTGGAAACACTTAGAAAATATATAAAGTGCTCATTTCAGAATTGCCCCTCCCCAGGAGCGAGGGAGCTAACTCCTGAGAGTCACTGGTTGAGGGCCGCTCCCAGGAGGTGTGACTTCTCCCGCACTGTGCCCCACCCTGTCCATGGGTAGCCAGGCCCATGAAGTGGGAGCCCAGGGGTGCAGACCTAGAGGTACAGAGAGTGGCAGTGGGGCATCTGAGTACCCTGGAGGTCTGAGGGATGTGAGCAAGGCACTTAGAGGGCCTTCTACAAGTGATAAAGCATTGATACAGCACCTGGCATGCAATAGGCACTATTAATCCTGTAATAGAAATTACTCTCGTGCAATTTCATAAGAAAAGTTTTCTCTCTTCATCTAAATTTCTCTCTTCATCTAAATTTTGTTCTCTCCCCACCCCAACCCCAACCCTAGTGGTTTTCAGTTTCACATGGCGTGTAACAGAAATAAATCCAATGCTTGTTTTGTTTTTATGTTTTCCAGAAATTCTACAGTCAAACCCTGACGTTCCAGCTTGTCCGTAGTACTCAGAAGCTTACGCTGCTGGCACAGGGGCAAGGTTTAGAGCCACGCTTGGAATTCAGTCCTTCAATTCTGGAGCTGGGGCCACTGCTGCCTTATGCGCCTGGAGACGAGGCCGAGGTGGTGGTGAAGAATCCCTGTGACTTTCCCATTGAATTTTACTCCTTAGAATTTGACCAGCAATATCTCATCGAAGAGAAGGTGAGCAGAGGCCCCAACCAATCTTCGTTTTCCTACCCGTGTTGGGCCCTGACAGGTACGGGTGCTCTTCTCTCTGCCAGGACCTCTGGCCCCTGACCTTTACCTCTCCTTCCCTTTGAACCCTTCCTGGTCAACTCTAAGATCACTGTGTAGACTTTTCTAACCTGCTTCCCTTGCCCTGAGCAGAATTCATTACCTCTTTGTGATCTCATTGTGCGTTTAAACAACCAATTGGAAAATTAATACATGCTAATGGTAAAAATTCAAACAGTGAAGAACGTATGCAGCAGTCATTATATTTGAAGTGAGTTTCTTGTAGATAGCATATAAGTGGGTCTTTTTTTAATACACTCTGGCAGTCTCTGCCTATAGTTGTTATATTTAGATCACTTACATTTAATATAGTTATGTTAGGGTTTAAATCTGCTCCTTTTTTCTGTTTGTTCTGGGCTGTATAATTTCCAGTTTCTCCTTCATGTTCATTTTTTTTAAACTTTATTTTTTTAGAGCAGTTTTAGGTTCACAGCAAAATTGAGGGGATGGTACAGAGACTGGAATATCCTCCTGCCCCTACACTCTATGGCTTCCCTCATTATCAATATCTCTTTCTAGAATGCACATTTGCTACAATCGATGAGCACATCCCCCACGGGGGATGTGCCCGCAACCCAGGTACATGCCCTTGACCGGAATCGAACCCGGGACCCCCCAGTCCGCAGGCCGACGCTCTATCCACTGAGCCAAACCGGTTTCGGCATGGTTCACAGCAAAATTGAGGGGATGGTACAGAGACTGGAATATCCTCCTGCCCCTACACTCCATGGCTTCCCTCATTATCAATATCCCTTTCTAGAATGTACATTTGCTACAATCGATGAGCCTACATTGACACACGATAATCACCCAAAGTCTATAGTACATTAGAGTTCACTGTTGATGTTATATGTGCTGTGGGCTTAGACAAATGTATAATGACATTTACGCATCATTATAGTACCATACAGAGTAACTTCACTGCTCTAACAATCTCCTGTGCTCAGCCTATTAATCTCCTCCTCCTCCAAGCCCTGGTAATCACTGGTCTTTTTACTGTCTCCATAACTTGGTCCTTTCCAAGATGTCATATAGTCATCATCAGTATGTAGCCTTTTCAGATTGGCTTCTTTCACTTAATAGTATGCATTTTAAGCTTCTTTCATGTCATTTTGTGACTTGATAACTAATTCTTTTGGTCGCTGAATAGCATTCCATTGTCTGGATGTACTGCAATTTATTTACCCACTCACCTACTGAAGGACATCTAGGTTGCTTCCAAGTTTTGGCAATTCGGAATAAAGCTGCTGTAAACACCCATGTGCAGGGTATTGTGCAGACAACGTTTTTACTCCTTTTGCTAAATACCAAGGAGCACAATATGTAAGAATGTGTTTAGTTTTCTAAGAAACCGCCAACATGTCGTCCAGAGTGCTTGTACCATTTTGCATTCTCGTCCGCAATAATTGAGAGTCCCTGTTTCTCCTCATCCTCACCAGCATTTGATGTTGTCAGTGTTTTGGACTTTGGCCATTCTCTGAGATATGCAGTAGTACTCATTGCTGTTTTATTTGCATTTCCCCGATGACATATAATGTGGAGCATCTATTCATATGCTTATTTGCCATCATTATATCTTTTTTGGCGAGGTATCTGTTAAGGTCTTTTGCTTACTTTTTAATCAGGTTGTATGTTTTCTTATTGTTGAGTTTTAAGAATTTTTTTACATATTTTAAAATAACAGTCCTTTGTCAGATGTGTCTTTTGCAATATTTCCTCCCCGTCTGTGGTTTGTTTTCTCATTCTCTTAACAATGTCTTTTTCAGAGCAGAAATTTTTAATTTTAAGGAAGTTTTGCTGTTCCTGAAGTCTGATGCTTAGCTATCTGATTCTTCTTAGTTATTTATTACTGCAAAACAAAATACCGCCAAGCTGAGCAACTTAGGCGTTTGTCATCTCATGTTTTCTGTGGGTTAGGAATTTGGGACTGGCTGAGCTAACTAAGGTGGCTCTGCTTCCTCAGGACCCTCCCCCAACTGGTCTTTGAATCTTCTCCTTTCTTTACATCCAGTGTTTATGCTCTACCTGATTTAGATGCTGCGTCCAGAAGTTTCCCTCAGAATGGGAATCTGTCCCTCTGAAGGCAATCTAATCTCTTCATTGGGTATTTATGAAATGCTCAATGGCTTACATTGGCTCAGCATCCTCTGTTGTGGGCCAAGTTCAATGGAAAGCAGAATTTAAGACTGTGATTTGCATTCAGAAGGTTTATTAGGGAGCACTCTTGGGAAAAACACCTGTAAAGAATAGGAACGCAGAATTGGGAGAGAAAAAGGTGACCTGTGAGAGGTTGCAGCGGAGACTTCAGCTGACGGCACAGGAAGCTCTGGAGCAGGCTCTTCAGAGTTACCCAGCTGAAGCCATTGGCCAAGGCTTGGTGTCTCCACAGCAACCAGTCTCTGGAACATTCCTTCCTTTCCACACTGACCTCAATCCTAAGCTCTCTTCCATTTCATTGGTCCATTTGTCTATCCGACATCAATACCACCCTATCTATTACTCCCGCTTTGTAAGTCCTGATATCTGGTATGGCAATCCTCTCTCTTCATTCTTCTTTATTAGGGTTCTAACTATCCTTAGCCCTTTGTCCTTCAATATATATTTTTAAATGACCTTATTAACAGTGGTTTTCAAACACCTGAAAATGGTGATCCTGGAGAAGGGTTATCTAACAAGATGGATTTTTTCACACCAGTGGAGCCAGGTGTCCCTCCAGCACTTGCCAGCAGCAATAAATTGGGTCAGATGGGAAGTAATTGCTTCCTAGGACTTCATTTTATAAATATGCACATACACTAAAGTTGCCACATTTATCAGGGGGAGAAAAAAAACAGTTTTCCCAGTTAAATTTGAATTTCAGATCAACAATATGGACATATTTATACTAAAAAATGTATTCATTGTTTATCTGAAATTCAGATTTAAATAGGCCTCCATATTTCATCTGACAATCCTCATACACATTTACACATTTCCTCTCTACCTCCTCTTTCTTCCTATCTCTATCACTCTCTAAAAATCAATGGGAAAGATATCCTTGGGTGAAGATTAACAACAATAACAAATTTAAAACAAGAAGAAAATTCTCTTCCACACATTAAATGTCCATTTAGGCTGAAATGGAGCAAAATAAAGACCCATCTCCCCAGGTTCAGGGCTGAGCGAACCTTTAGACCCTCCGAAGCACCCTGCCCTCTGCACACACCTGCTCAGGCAGGCGCAGGGGTCTGACGGGTGGGAGAGCAGACCACCGAGGGGTGTGGGGAGGGGCTTCCGGGGAGACCACCAGCAGTCCCCTTGTCCTCGCGCAGATCTTGCGGTCGCTGAAGGGCTACGACTCCTACAACACCCTGCTGCTGCCACCCCGCGTCCCTGGGGAGAAGCTGCCCTCAGAGGTGTACGAGTACTTTAAGGAGATGAAGCAATCCAAGGAGGAACAGATGAAGGCGAAATACCTGGAGGCTCTGGCTCAGGACAACGGTGAGAGCTCCTCTCAGGGGCCAGCTCCCACCACTGCCCTGGCTTCTTTGAAGGGTCCCTGGGCCAGGCAGGCGCGAGGTGCCTTAAGCATTTTATTTCTAATCCTTACAAAGTGGTACTGTTAGCCCTGGTGTATGGGTGCGCAGATGGGACACTTTCTGCCCTTGAAAGGCCCTGTCTTCAACTACAGTCACAGTCTGGGGTGCTCGGGAGCTAGGGCTTCAGTTATGAGCTTCAGGGGAGCCAATAAGCCCCCACAAACATGCTATGTTGCAAGCACTGAGCTGAAGTGCTGGGGGGAAAAGATCAATGAAACAGCCCCTGCCTTGGAGAGGTCACAGGAAGTGGATGGAGGGAAAGACATCGCCTCTCAGGGCTGCCTGGTGGCCCGGGGTACAGAGCTGAGAGGCTGTGACGTGCAAAGGACGTCATGAAGTCAGGGAAGGGCCGCGTCCCTCTCAGCCCATCCCACTCGGCAGCTGTGGGCTCCTTTCTCCCCTTGGCCTGTTGAGGAGCCCGGGAAGGGGACACTCTGCTTCTTCCCAGTGCTTCCCGAGCCTCTGCTCACCTGCCCTCTCACTGTCGACCATCCTGCTCCCCTTCCCATACGGCGTCCAGGGGAGGCCGGGGTCGCAGGCCGCATCGCCACCGTGGCAACCTCTCTGGCTCAAATCCAAACCCTCAGCAAAGAGGATGCCTGGACCCTGGGGTGGGAGTGGACGTCAATGTATACAATCCCAGCCCTCCCGTGCAGGCACCCCCTGAAGCGCTGTGGGATGGGCGATGAGGGGGGTGCTGGGCCGACAAGAGTCAATATGTGAACACTCAGCAGGGGGAGGTGTCCATGACAGTTACAGGGAAAAGCAGGTTACAAATCGGTGTGTACAAGACTGGTTTTGGAAAGTTAACCGCGTGAGAGGTTGCTAGCTCTCCTGTACTGGTATCATAAAACCAAGCTGCGATTCCTCTGTCGCCATTTCTTTATCGATATCTCTTTTTGAAACTGAATTTTATAATTTTTTTGCTTTTCTGAATTTTCCAAATTTTCTGGAGCAATAATTTTGGGGATATTTTATGTTAAAATGTAGAAGCACTCTGGGCAGAGAAACTGCAGTTCTTGTTGATTTGAGCTGGATGATCCAGGATGATAGCAACCAGCAGTTCTCTTTGTCGTTTTCCTTTTTCACCCACTCTCTCTTGTCTCCCCGCCCCCCACCACCAGCAGAAGACGAAGATATACCCTTGTCGGAGCAGGTAACGGTCTCCAACGTGAAGAGGGGCTCACTTAGCCGAGGGATCTCTGTCACATCCGACCTGGAGGACTGGGAGGAGTCCAAGAACAATCCAGATGATGAAGAGGATGATGACAGCCTGGAAAAACTAGTGTTTCAAAGTAACCAGTATTTCATTTATTTATTTTATTTTTATTTTAGAGAGGGAGGAAGAGAAAGGGAGAGGGAGAGGGAGAGAAAATCAATGTGATTGATCGTTGCCTTTCATATGTGCCTCTGACCCGGCCCAACCTGCAACCCAGGTGTGTTCCCTGACTGGGAATTGAACCCATGACCTTCCCATGCAGGGGGGGCAGGGAGGGAGACACTCTAACCAACGAGCCACACCAGCCAGGGCTAACCTTTTAATGTTTGGGGGCCAGTTTTCTCTAAGCAGCAGTAGAAAGAGTGATGCCTTTTCACCTTTCTCCAAACCTTCTAGCATGACTACATATAATTCTCTAACATGACTATGCCATCATTTATTTAGCCATTTCCCTTCATGTTGCAAACTCAGCTAGTTTCCAACATTATTTTTTTCAGCAGAAGAGATTCCAAAAAATGGAATTAGGAGTCAAAGAATATCTATAATTGCAATCCTAGCAGCCCTGGGCAAATTAGTAGCCAGAAAGGGTGCTCTCATACAATACAGGAGGGAATGAGGGCTGCAGCAGATGGGTTCTCGTTTCCAAACAGTATCTAAAAGGAAAAAGTCACTCCCATTTCCATCAGAACTCATGTGGCCTCCGGGTGTGTCCACAAGCACGCACATGCGCGCACGCACATGCGCACACGCACACATATATTTTTAATTTGCAGCTGAGAAGTTACAGAGCACGGACAGCCACTCTGCAGAGGAAGATGGAGAAGTAGAGAACAACCCAGTGAACAAGGCCATTGCTCGCTACCTGGGCATCGATGTTTCTGCAGAAGGTAACCTGGCCAAGAACCGGAAGGGCATCGCCATTATCGTCCACGGGACGCCCGTGTCAGGTAGGTGACAGCTCTGAGGGGCTGCCCCTTTTATGGGGTGAAGCTTGCATGTGTCATTTTGAGGACATAAGACTATTTTTTTTTTTGGAAATTTATTTATCAAAGGATTATCCCCAAATTGTTAAATCGCCAACCTCAGAGATACAGGATTGGAGAAAGAGCAGAGACACCTCATTCTTAATTAATACATCTGGACTACTTGAACTTGTAATCTTTTCAATTATATGATTTAAAAATAAAGGGGGGGGGAAATATGTGCAAATCCTTTGGCCTGGCAATATTCCTTCTAAAATTTTATCCTAGGAAACTAATTAATGACATGGACAAAGATGAACAACATGAAAGTTCACTGCAGCATTATTAACCATAATAAAAAATTGGGAGCAATCTAAGCATCCAATATGAGAGACTGGTTAATTAAGCCGTAGCACATTCATATAGCGAATTATTATCACCATTAAAAACAGTGTCTGTACACCCATGTTTATGGCAGCATTATTAACAATAGCCAAAAGGTAGAAACAGCTCAATTATCCATTGACAGATGAATAGATAAACAAAATGTGGTACAGTGGGGTAGTATTCAGCCTTTAAAAGGAAGAGCATTCTGATACATACTGGTACTACAACAGAATGAACCTTGAGGACAGTGTGCTAAGTGAAATAAGCTATAAACAAAAGGACAATAACTATATCGTTCCAGTTATATGAGCTACCTAGAGTAAGCGAAACAGAAAGTGGGGTGGTGGTTTGCTGGGGCTGGGGGACTGAGGGATGGGCCTTATTGTTTAGTGTATACAGAGTTTCCACCTGGGAAGGTGAAAAAATGCTAGTGGAGGTTACACAACAATGTGAATAGACTTATGCGACTGAACCATACATTCAAAAGTGGTGAATTGTGTATGTATATTCCCACGTTAAAACAAAACAAAACACAGTGCCATAGAAGTGTATTGAATGAGTTGAAAGATGTTCATGATCTATTGTTTTAAGTGAGAAAAAAATGTCGCACTCATGATTTGGAATCTGTATTCATTTCCTGTTGCTACTGTAACAAATAACCACAACCTTAGTGGCAAATTTGCTTTCTTACAGTCCTGAAGGTCAGAAGTCAAAAGTCGGTCAGTTGGGCTGCCTTCCTTCCGGAGGCTCCACGGGAGAAGCCCTTTCCTTGACCTTTTCTGGCTCCTAGAAACGTTGCCTGCCTTCCTTGGCTCTCAGCCCCTTCCTCCGCCTTCAAAGCCAGCATCGTAGCATCTTCCAGGCCCTCTCTCCTTGCTTTCATCGTCCTATCACCTGCCCTGACTCTGACCCTCCTGCTTTCCTCTTGTAAGGACCTTGTGATGATTACGTGGGGCCACCCAGATAATTCAGGAGAATCTCCCCATAGCAAGCGCCTTAACTTGATCACACCTGCCAAGTCCCTTTGCTGTATAAGGTAACATGTACCAGTTCCAGGGATCAGGATGTAGTCGTCTTTGAGGGGCCATTATTCCGCCGACCACATAACCCTGGTCCTTTTTATAGGAAATATAAATAAAATAATCACCTATGCATACTTAACACAACCATCTGTGAACTATAATCTCTTTGGATGAGCAAATTTTAAATCTTTTTTTTTCTTTCCCTCTGTCTATTATATCTGAATTTTTTCTGCTTGCTTTTTAATAAGCACATATTTTGAAATCAGAAAAAAAATCAACACAACTTATCCTTTAAACCACAAAAAAAGTCTTTCTATTAGAATCAGAGACAGTAAGAGCTACAAGACTTTTGAATCGCTTTTTGAATTGAGGAGAGTACCCGGAGAAGTTGTGGGTTCCCGTAGCACAGGGCCGACCGGTGGCAGCTAGTGGGGGTTACACAACAATGTGAATATCCTTCTCTTTTGGCTGCCACCCCTGAGCACAGCAGAGGCCCAGAGGCAGGGCACCCAGAGAGATCACTGTCCAGGGGCCTCTGTTCTAGAAGCTTCTGTCTAGGACGCCAAGGAAATGACGTCCAGCCCCCTGACCTTTCCTCCAGGCAAGACGGCCACGGCAGCCAGCCTGGCCAAGTACTACGGTGCCGCCTGCTTCAACATCGACTCCATCGTGCTGGAGGCCATCTGCGACGGCAACAGCATCCCAGGGATCCGGGCCCGGGAGCTCTGCATCAGGGCGGCCATCGAGCAGTCCATGCGGGAAGGAGAAGAGTCTGGTGAGAGCCGTTTCCACTCCCTTCAGCACCTCTGCGTGAGATGCTTTCTGTGGCCAGGCGGCCAGCACCCACGCCGGTAGCCCCCACCTTCTCGGGGTCCCTCACTGAGCTTTTCTCCCACCGCTTGGTTGAAGGCTGATTTGCAACGCGCTGCTACCTTAGTAGCCCAGGGGAAAATTCTCCTCCCCAAACATCACGTGGCCCTTCGGGGAACAGGACAATGGATGGCATGTGGCCCACACCTTTGGGGGTGACACCTGGCGAGGAGCAGAGGAAAAGAGTGTAACCGGAGCGCGGGCTCTGGGAGAGCGGGTGTGGGAAGATGGCGTGCCAACGAGCACGATCGGGGGTAGTTTTCATGGGAATGGGCTTTGAGGGAGCAGGACTGTGTTGACAGGTGACGATGAAGGACAGGACACGCCAGACAAAGAAAGCAGGGAAGCTGACAGTCAGTGAGAGGTTGGGGGGAGGCTGAGGCCAGTGGTCGTTGACCTGATGCCAAAATTGGGAATCTGGATCTTACTTGGAAGGAAAGGAGTCGGGTGATTTTCACCCTGTGGGGGTAATGGCGGGAAAGTAGCTCTTGTAATGACTCGTAAGGGAAGCCCGAGGCGGCGAGGCTGGGCAAGCTGACCTGATTGCCGCCATGGCAGCGCGAACTGAGGAGTGGGAGGCGCTCGGGACGTCACACCAAGATAGGAGCAGAAACCTGGAAGAGGGGGACGGCGTTTACCGAGACAGGGGATGCGGGGGGAGGAGGAGGTTTGCTGGAGAGACTTAACGAGTTTTTGAAGCCACAGCAGTGAGGCCTGGGATGGCCGAACTTCCAGAGGCGGAGAATCCTGGCCCCATCAGGCCATCTAAGGACCTACAGGTCAGGGGAACGAGCAGCTGCTCAAGGGGAAACGTATTGAAGTAGAGTGCCTGCTGAGAGCTGAGTTATTGTCATAAAAATACTCAGAACAGCGCGGCAGCCTTCCTACTCGTGCAGCGTGCCTGCGCGTTGGTGAAACGGGTGGGGCTTTCAGTCGTGTCCCCTCCCTTCAGCACCTCTGCCTGGGAGGCTTAAGGAGACACGGGTCTAAGAGAAATAGCTCTTTAGTCGTGTAGGGGAGGAAAGATAATTTCCCTCTGCCCCTCTGAGTTCTCGGCTGAGACTCCCGTGATAAGAAAAAAAAAAGATTAACAAGAGGAAACAGGAGTTTATTAACATGTGTACGCCCCGGATACATGGGAGGTAGGGGAAATGAGTAACTCAACGTGGCTTTAGAGTTCAGACTTAAATACCAGCTTCGTAAGGAAAGGAGAGGCAGTACGTCGACCTCTGGTGAAAGCCAACGATTTTTAGGAATGATGAATGAACCCTTAGGCACACGGAGGGAGGCCTGATAGTTCGTCCGGGTTGCTGCTGACTTCCAGTCTCCTCTCCTGTGATAAGAGTCCATCTTCCCCGGTTGGTGGAACTCCCAGAACAGTGATGGCGAACCAACGACACGCGTGTCAGAGGTGACACGCGAACTCATTTTTTTGGTTGATTTTTCTTGGTCAAATGGCATTTAAATATATAAAATAAATATCAAAAATATAAGTCTTTGTTTTACTATGGTTGCAAATATAAAAAAATTTCTATATGTGACACGGCACCAGAGTTAAGTTAGGGTTTCTCAAAATGCTGACATGCCGAGCTCAAAAGGTTCGCCATCACTGTCCCAGAAACAGATTTGTGGCAAATGGGTTCGTGTTGCATGCCCGTCTGTAGGCAGGTAAGGGAAGTTCAGAGAAAGCCTCTCTTTGCATGTGCCGGTTTTCAACTGCCTACAGCTCGAAAGAATCAGAATACCCAAGCGGCAATTGTGAGGTGGCACGTCCTGAACTCCTGGAGTAATATTTCGGGGTGGCACATTCTGCTACCCTTCAGCGGGAATCCTAAGCTGAATCATAATTCTGGTCCTCTTAGATTTTTGTTTTCTTCTCTGGCAAATAAACTATATTTCACTGAGGTCTTTGGAGCTGTTCGTGTCCTGTGACATATCGTGACATATGAATTTGAGCTCCCTGTCTGAGAATATAATGCCAGCCCAAAGGCATCATTGGGGAGTCTTTCTCAACAAGTGACAGGTGCCGCAGCTCGAGTAGAGGAAACCAGCCCAGGAAGTTCCACAAAGAAAGGAGTGGGATGGACAGGGCAGGATGGGACCTCGGGGAGCACGGACGTTGTAGGAGGGGTGTGGAGGGGACGCCGGGGGAGGCTGAGAGGTGAAGTGGGGGTCGGGGTGGGCGATGAGGAGAGCAGGTCTCAGGGAAGCCACCTTTGAGTTACTCATTTCCCCCCACCTCCCATGTATACAGGAAGTATACATGTTAATAAACCTGTGCTTTCTCTTACTAATCTGTTTTTCTCATCACCGGAGTCTCAGCTGAGAACTCAGAAGGGTAGAGGGAAGATGATATTTCCCTGCAGCAGGTGGAAAAGATCTGCAGGAGGGAGAGGGGCAAGAAGGGCTGTCGGGTCTCTCCAGAGCTCTGGTGGCGTCCAGGCTCCCTTCCAGCTTCATTTTCCTCGTAGCCCTCACCACTTGTTAACATACTGTTTCTTTTCCTTATTTCACTGTATGTCTCTCCCCACTAGGATGTAAGCATCCGAGGACAGAGATTTGTGTTAGTTTTCTCCACTAATGTATTCCTAGGGTAGTGCCCTGTGCATAGTACATGCAGAGTCAGGATTTATTTAAAAAATGGATTCAATCAGTAAAGGATCCTAATTGGAGATTGCTGGAAATTCCAATGGGAGGAACCCTGAGAAGAGAGGGCCTGTGAAGTTCGCAGTTCAGAGGTCACTGGTGACTTGGAACAAAACCCTTTTAATGGAGGGCTAAGCCCCAACACACATTTGCAGTTTGCTCTGGAGTCAGCAGGCTGTACCGAACAGGAAGTGATAAATCTGAACTTGCCTGTGAGTGTGCAACCCATACTGGATTGGAAGACGTAGTATGACTAAAAGACTGTAACATGACACAGTAATAATTGTTTATATTTTTCACATTATTTTATACTTACATTATATTATCTATTTTTATATTTGACTAGAGGCCTGGTGCACAGATTTGTGCGCTGGTGGGGTCGCTAGGCTCGCCCTGCGGGAATCGAGCCAAAACTGGCTCTCCGACATCCCCTGAGGGGTCCCGGATTGCGAGAGGGTGCCTCTCGGGTGACAAACCCTGGAATCAGGCTCCCTCCTCTCTGGTTCCGGGAACCGCAGCTGCCAAGTCACCGCAGCTCGGCAGCTCCTGCGTTGAGCATCTGCCTCCTGGTGGTCAGTGCGCATCATAGATACTGGTTGGAGTGTCTGTCCCCTGGTGGTCATTGTGCGTCATAGCTACCAGTTGGACAGTCAAACAGTTGGATGGTCACTTAGGCTAGGCTTCTCTCTCTCTCTCTCTCTCTCTCTCTCTATATATATATATCTATATATATATATACAGACATGCATACACATATATATATATACACATACACATATAGATATATATGCCTTTTATATGTAGTATATATTGAGTGAAATAAATTTTTACTTTTTTAATAGGGCTACTAGAAAATTTTAATTGACACACATATGTGGCTCATGTTCTATGTCTATTGGACAGAGCTGGTCTAGACCACTGTTTTGAGAAATTGGGCAGTGAAGGAAAGAAGTAAAATGATATCTTGAAAGATATGAAAGGTTAAATGAAAACTTTTGTTTAGTACGTATCAGAAAGAACTGGGTTTTTTTTGGACATGGAGGAATGATGCTATGGACAGGGGAAGGTGGAAGCATCAGAGCACAGAAGACATTCCATAGCAATCAGTGACGGTGAGGATGGGCCGGGCGGGGCGGGGCTCAGTGAAGTGAGCGGGTGTGGGTAGCAGGAGGCTGGAGTGTCATTATCAAGCGGAGCCTGGAGGGACTGGGGGTGCGGCGGGACGCTTATAAGAACCATGCTATTCTTATTCTGTGGAGCAGAACTTTGGTACGACTACCCCACCACCCTTTCTCCTCCCAGGTGGTCTATGACTCCTGCTGTGACACCCTCACAGGGCTTTTCAGAATGTGCTTCCATTTCCCTCTACCTGAAATGCATATAGTGAGAGCTCTTGAGTGAGTTCTGGGGCTTATGTGCCGATGTGGTCAACAAGGAGTAGAGAGCTGAGAGCTAGAGAAACATGGAGGCTGCCTTGCACACAGTCCATCGCATCTTAGAGTGGCAGCAGCATCCACTAGACCCTCTCCCCTTCAGGGCAGGTGGTACATCTGTGCCAAGTCAGAGGACACACGGAGACAGGGCTTGCCACTGTGGTTGGGAGGCTAAGAGGGGAACCTTTTAAATAATTACATCAACCACTGATTCTGAAAGGGAACTGCTCAGTGGTGCTTAGGGGTGGCGATCTGATTGAAAGGAAGGGCAGAGGCGAAACGAAGAAATTAATGTTAAAGCCATGTTTGCCGACAGGCACGCTGTTGTTACTCAGCCTGTGTGTTCATTTGGGCGGTGCCATCTCATGCTACTCATTGGCATCACCGCTGCCTAGAACCACAGAAGGTCAGGTGTTGGGCTCCCAGGGCAGGGCTGTCATACACCCGCAGTCTCCGAAATGATTGCCCTCTGGCCTGGAGGAGAAAGTGAGCGATTAATGCGGGATCTGAGCAGGGAAAAGCCCGGAACTCCAGGCCAGGCTCTCCGCGGAGCCGCCGTCACCCAGTCCGCCCTGTGCTCGGTCTGCCATCCCCACTGCGATTTCCTTCTTATCCTAAGGTGACTTTTCATATCAACCCACTCCCTCTGTGTAGCCCAGGAGACTACTTCGAGTCAACTTGGCATAGGACAGATACGACAGAGCAGTGAGAACCTGGGCAAGTTAACCTCAGAAACCACCCTGATAAACCCTGAAGTGAAATCTGCAAAGTCCATGCGAGGGAGCATGCTGTTTTCCAAAAACAGAGAGCATGGCTCTGGGTCTCAGAAGCAGCATCACCAGCACCCACCTGAAACGCCGCAGGTACAAACCAGCGCTCCCCAGAAGCGGGCTGGGATCCTTTCTCCTCCTCCTCTTCCTCTTCCTTCCTCCCCTCCTCCTCCCTCCTCCTCCTCCTCCTCCTCTTCCTCTCCCTCCCCTCCTCCTCCTCCTCCTCCTCCTCGTCCTCCTCCTCCTCCTCCTCCTCCTCCTCCTCGTCCTCCTCCTCCTCCTCCTCCTCCTCCTCCTCCTCCTCCTCCTCGTCCTCCTCCTCCTCCTCCTCTCCCTCCCCTTCTCCTCCTCCTCCCTCTCGTCCTCCTCCTCCTCCTCCTCCTCCTCCTCTCCCTCCCCTCCTCCTCCTTCTCCTCTTCTCCCCATCCTCCACCTCCACATCCTGCAACCAGGTCAGCACAGCTTCATTCAATGGGTGCCTTTGCCAGGCAGGCCTGAGCGCTGTCCCTGCACCACTCCTCCTGAAAGGAGGTTCATCCAGCAGGTGTTGAATAGGTGCCTTTAATAGTATAGGCACTGGGCTGAATGCTGGCAAAGTGAAGATAAATAAAGCAAAACCCCCTCCACTCAAGCTGCACTAAGAGTCTAATGAAAGAATCACACCTTCAAATGTTTGCAGTAAAATGAGATTGGTGCCCTGGCCTGTGTGGATCAGTGATTAGAGCATCGGCCTGTGCACTGGAGAGTTGCAGGTTCAATTCCCAGTCAAGGGCAGGTACCTGGGTTGCAAGTGCGATCCCCGCCCTCCGTCAGGGTGCATGTGGGAGACAACCAATCAGTGTGTTTGCAACCAATCAATGTGTTTCTGTCATATCACTGTTTCTCTCTCTCTCTTCCTCCTCCCATCTCTCCCCCTTCTCCCTCTCTTCCATTCTCTCTAGAATCAGTGAAAAAATATCTTCACTCCTTGAGTGAGGATTTAAAAAATAAAAGAAATTGGTGACAAATCGCTGTGTAAAAAGAATTAGGTTAAACCATATAAAATTGCCACTATTCAACCATTTGGGAACGTCATAGCAATTTTATATGGCTCAATTTCATACTAAAGGAATGCTAAAGATAAAAAACCATTAATATGAGTTGTGTGATGCCTACAAGAGAGTCTTGGAAAGCCATTAGGAAGTCAGAGAATTGAGCCATATGCCAAGGGACTTTGAGGACAATCTCAGGAGAATAGCAGGTGCTGAAGCCAAAGGCGGATGGATGGCACTGTGACCGACAAGTGTGTGTGACGAGTTGTCGCTTGGAAAGTAGAGTCCAGTGATGGTAGGCTTCTGAGATGTTTGAAATAAATTGAAAAAAAAAGATAAAGTGTTCATTAGAGGGGCAAACGCAGGGTCAAGAGAGTTCTTTTTTTGAAAGGAGGTCTATAAAGATGGGAAGGAAAAGTATAAGGTGATGATCCACCAAGAGGGAATGCCAGTCCAGAAGGAGACAAAGAGGGCAGGACCAAGCATCATTTCAGAGAAAGGAGCTAGCTTCTTCTAGAGTTAGTAAAGGTGAAAGCCCGACACAGCTGCAGGTGGCAGAAGCAAGGTGGAGAGCAGAATGTGGAGGAGGTCTGACTGGGTAACTTTACGATGCGTGCAGGACCCCGGGTCTTTGCCGGAATAGGGCGGAGGTTGGGTTGCAGACGACTTCCTTGCACGCGAGAGTGGCTAAGTACTAATATGTCCACTGTGAGGAACAGAACCAGGAATTGGTGGTGGACAGCAGAAAAGGTAGTCTAGAATGCTGATGGCCCAGCAAGACAGGAAGCCACACCTTCACAGATTTCACTGAGTGGCTCCTGGCAGCCCCCATTCAGAGGCAGAGAGAGACGTTTTCATCCCTGCAGGGGCAGGGTGTGCTCAGAATAAGGGGCAAGGGAGTTGAAAGTGGCATCTGTATGGGAAGACAGCCAGGTAGGGAAGAAACTACCTATGCTCTTTCATATTCTCTCATACCCAGGTAATGTGATCACCCTTTCTAAATAGCCATTGTCCAACCCTGTCATTGCCCTTTACTCCCTTACCTGATCATTTTCTCCCTGGCATTCATTACTATTTGAAATTGTCACTGATTTGCATATTCATCTGTCCCTTTTCTGTCTCCCCAACTTGAATGCAAGGACCAGACTGGCAGCAACATTGCTAGGCTTGTGTGTTGTTGTGTCCCTGGTCCTAGAGGAGACCCTGGTGCATAGTAGGTGCCCAAAGAAGATTTGATTGAAAGAACAAATGGGTGCTGTTCAGTACATACACAAAGCACCTTCCACAGTGTTCCCACTCAGAGCTTATAGCAATTCTTTGAGGAAGATAGGAATATCCAATTTTACAGATGAGGAAAGGAGGCCCAGAGAGATGATATGACTTTCCTGAGGTCACATGGCTTGTAGGTGTAGGAGTTGTCGGGACACCGAGCTGGGTTCTCACTTCTGAACCTTCTCTCCGCAGATTTCCTCCAGTCCTCTCCCCTCGGGACCCACACCGCGCCGGCTTAGTGTCAGCACCAGCATCGGGGGCGAGACCGGGCTCCTGAGCTGTGTGCTCCCTGAGGAAATGCTCGTTCAGATCCTGGCCGAGCGCTTACAGGTGCGTCCACACTCCTGCATGGAGCTGCAGGGCTCACACACCTTCCCCAGGCCGTTAATAACAATGTACCTACCTATATAGTTTAGGTAGGTACTGAGCCCTCATAGCCCACAGCAGCTTAGAACCCCGGGTCTTGGAGAGGAAAGATGGGTTTCCTCACCCTCACCAGTCATTTACGTGTCCTTTTGACAGCCATTGTCGGTCTGCTGCCTGAAGCCACTCACTTTCAAGGACCAGTGATCAGAAGAGTCACACCACAGCCCTCACTGGTGTTTTTAAAACTGTAAGGAGGAGCTGTTCAGAGTTAGAATTTGGAGACAGTTAATTGCTATACAAATTTGTTTTTAAGTGAGAAAAGCAGGTTATGTTCCATATGATTTCACTATATGTGGCATCTAAAGAATACATTAAACAAACAAAACAGAAAGAGACTCACAAAAATAGAGAACAAACCGAAGGTTGTCAGATAGGAGCGGGACTTGGGAGGCTGAGTGAAAAAGGTAAAAGGATTAAGAACTACAACTGGTAGTCACAAAATAGTCACAGGGATGTACAGTACAGCATAGGGGATATAGTCAATAATCCTATAGAATAAAGAGTTAATATGCTAATTAGACCAAACAGCAGAACGACCATCCGGACAACCTTCCGGACGAAGCTGGGGCTGCGAGGGCCGAGCCCCTTGCACAAATTTCGTGCATCAGGCCTCTAGTCTATAATAATAAAAGCATAATATGCTAATTAGACCAGACGACCTTCCGGACAAAGCCGGGGCTGCAAGGTAAGCCTGAGTCCCGGGTGCCAGAGGGAAGCTGGTGCCAGCAGCCAGGGGAAGGAAGGCCTACTCTCACATGAATTTCATGCATCAGGCCTCTAGTATTGTAATAACTATGTATGGTGCCAGATGGGTACTAGACTTATGGGGGATCACTTTGTAAATTATATAAATCTCTAACCACTATGCTATACACCTGAAACTAATATAAAATCATATTGAATGTCAATTGTAATTGACAAGTTAAAAAAGAAAGAAAAGGAGATTATGAAATAGTATATAAGGCACAATTACGTTTCTATAAAAATGTATAAATGTATATTGTACACATAGTAAAATCTCAAAGTACATGTTAACTGTGGTTATCTTTGGTAATTATAGATTTTTAGTCTTCATTTCTGAATTATTTTACAATGATATATTGCTTTTGTAAAATATATTTTTATAGATATTAAAGAGAAAGGGAGAGGGAGAGAGAGATAGAAACATCAGTGATGAGAGAAAATCATAAATTGACTGCCTCCTGCACACCCCCTACTGGGGATCGAGCCCTCAACCTGGGCATGTGCCCTGACTGGGATTTGAGCACAGCTCGAAAGAGCACAGCTCTACTGGCTTCCCTTGGGCTTTCCCAGTGATTCACTACCTTTAATCCGGATTCATGAAATACCTGCACACTTATGTGACCGCCTTGCTCAAGTGAGTTGAGAAAGGTGGTGCCTGTAACACAGCAGCAGTCCAAACATTACACAAGTCATTTCCAGGAACGACATTCCTCCTCTGCTGGGAACCTCAAGTCTGATTTTATTATATTTAAATGTGCAATTAATATTGTGCCCAGTTTGCAACAAGTCCCCAAGGGTTTATAGAGACAGCATAAACCCTTTGCTCTTCAAGTATGTACGATGAAGCTCTTCCATGACTGACTGAATATTTTTCCTTTCTCTTTATTTTATAACAGCACCTTGAATCTAGCAGGTAGTCGAATGGTACTTTTATCAGGGCTCAGTGGGTTTGCAGAACCAGTTGCAGCCCCAGAGAAAGCACTGGCAGAAGAACAGGCAGCTCTGTAGAGAACAGATGGCCCGGTGGCCATGGTAACTGCCTCTGTTCTCTCTGGTTTCAGCTGAGTGACTGCAGCCTGGGAGTGGTGTTCGACAGCCTCGACACACTCTTTGCTCGGAACGCGGCCATTGCTCTCCTCTGCCTGCTGAAGGCCATTGGCAACAGGGAGCACATCTACGTCCTCAACATGCCCCAGGATTACACAGGCATGAAGGCCCAGGAGAAAGCCAAAAAGGAGCAAGAAGGCAAGGCCCATGCCCTTCCGGACTGTCCTTCACAGGCGCTCACAAGTCTCTCCTTTGCATGTAGCATCTGCCCCTTTTAAATGCTTCCCTGGCAGGATAGCCCATTGGGCTTAAATGAAACTATTCCATTTGCCATCTCATAGGAGCCCCACCTCTGCCCCATAAGGTGGCTGGGAGTTCTTATTTCTTCCACTTTTTATGGGTGGGAACGGAGGCAGAAAGGACCTGTAGAGAAATTATAGACTAAAGGGTGGACTTGGCTCTTCTGACAACAGGCACAGTCCTCTTTTGTCCGGGATCTCACTGTTCACACTCATCTTCTCCGGAACTACAGCTGACCCCCAGGGAACACATCCCAAGTCCCATCCTGACTCAGGTGACCGGTTAGCTTGTTGGTTTTTGTTTTAGCCAACTGTGCATTTCCTGTAAAACTAGAGGTGCTGCTAAACTCTACGAAACCAAGTGTACATTTTAGCCTAACGTGTACCAGGCTGTGCGGCAGACCTTGTGTACACATTGGATGTCTTTAAATGGTGTGTTGTTCCCATTTTACAGATGAGGAAAATGAGGCTCATGGATATTATGTGAGATCACATGGCAAATTAGTAAGACCTTTCCTTTTTTTTTCTGTCATTACACCAGTCGCCTGGAAATAATTTTCACTGATTGAAAAATAGATACATGCACACCGAGTAATATTAGTGAACAAGTTCCAAATTTAGTCAGAAGCAGACCTAGCAAATTGTGGCCCCCAAGAAAGGAGGTGACACTACCCCTGGGAAGTAGATTCCTGCTCTGGCCTCCGCTCCATCCACATCACTGCCCTTCCTCACTTGGCCTTCCCTCTCTCTTCTAGAACAATCCACACAAATCATAATGCTTTTCCAGTGAAGGGAATATTCACAAACACTGAGCTCTCTTAGTTCTTAAACAGAACTCATACTGCTTCCTTATATTCTCATTCCGGGGAAAATGATTAGGAAGAATGGCCAGGCAGGGTTTCCAGCAGGATTTCAACCTCCAGGTCCCTAGTTTTCCAGAAAACTCATTTCCCCACAAGGATCAACTTAAAAGAAAATAACTCTTTTCATTTTCTCAGTTATCTGTGGATTGAAGTTTTTCACAGTTGAATTTTGAAAAAGCCCTGAGACAGCAAATGTAATAATATTATTATATCCAAATCTAATTCTTATTGAACATTTATGAATATGCCAGGCACTGGGCTTTACATGATTGCTTATTTGATCCCACAACACCCTATGAAGGGGGAATTATTATTCTTATCTGTTTCTGTCCCTTGGTAAGTGTTGGGAAAAGGACTCAAATGCAGATCTCTGAGCCCAAGGCTAAAATGAGAATGTAAGGTGAGGATATCGTGCCGGTGATGTGTGAACGAGAAGCCGGATGCCTTTGTGCTGAGTGTGAACCACACTCTGGACCCGAATCAGCAGGCGTGGAAGACGATCCTGAGTTCTGTCGCCCTGAGCTCTTCAGTGGCTGTGCTCAGAAAGGGTGACGCCAGTGGGTGGTATATTTCCTGTTACTGCTGCAACAAATTACCACAAACCTGGTGACTTAAAACAACACAGATATATTATCTTACGGTCTGGAGGTCAGAAGTCCTAAAATCGGTGTCAGCAGGGCTCTACTCCTTTGGAGGCTTCAGGAGAGAATCCCTTCCTTTCCCTTCCCTTTCCACTTCCTAGAGGACTGCTGTTTCCTTGGCTCATGATCCCTACCTCACAGCCCTCCGGCATTTGTTTCTGTTGTCACATCTACTCTCCCTCTGCTGCATCACCGCATCACCTTCTCCGACTCTGGCCCTTGGTGATTATATTGGGTCCACTCAGATAATCCAAGAAAACCTCTCCAACTTAAGTTCCTTAACTTCATCACATCTGCCAAATCCTTCCTGCCATGTCAGGGGACATATGTGTGGGCTCTGGGGATCAGGGCATGGGTGTCTTTGGGGCCACTCTTTGGCCGGCCACAGACGAAGACTGGTTTTGGGACTGTGTGAGTGAAGGAAGCCCCACCAGAGTAGGAATGCTGCTGTCACCCCAGCCACCTTTCACTGCCACACGCTGTGTGTGACTTTCCTCCCCTTCCCATCTCTGTTCCCCCACACAGAGCAGAAACAGAGGGAGGCGCTTGAAAAAGAGAAGGAGCGTCTCCAAAATATGGATGAGGAAGAATATGATGCCTTGACAGAGGAGGAGAAAATCGCCTTCAATCGAGAGGTTCAGCAGGCCCTGCGGGAGAGGAAGAAGAGGTGAGAGTCGAGGGCTGGCCCGAGCGGAGCAGTTCCCCTGGGAGCAACTTCCATGGGGCCCACAGGAGCCCATCCTGGGGACCAGGTCATCCAGGGTGGCAGCAATAGCCACAGGAGACCGGGAGGATGACCGACCGGGAGCAGGAAAACGTCCTGCCCCTCCAGGGTGGTGGGTGCTGCAGCCTTGCAGGGCCTCTCTGTTCTCCTCTCCCTCCTTCTCTCTCAGGGACACGGGGGCTGGGTGAAGGCTATGCAATGTAATAGGGGAGGGGCTTCTGGCCCCAGTGCTATCCTAGGGCTTCCATTGGCTCCCCCTGACCACTGTGCCCTAGGTGTGGTGACCAGGGACCACTCTCTTCATGTGGGCATGGTGGTTGCTCCCCAGAACTCAGCCATTTCTCCTCCTTCCCCGGCCATCAGCTTGGCCCTGGGTGGTGCTGTCCATCCCCTGAGGTCTGGCTGCTTCTCCAGCTTGATCCTCGACCTGAGTGCTCCCAGCCAGCACTGTCAGCCCCTTCTAGACCCATCGTTGGGACCACATGGGAATGACTGGATCCCCTCCACACCCCCTAGGGCCCAGCAGAGGCAGGGCTGCTATTTCAGGCTCTCAGACATAGTGGCAGTGGGATATAGGTCCTTGCTGCCTTCACATGTGCTGGGGGAAGGGGGCCCCATTCCCTACCACTCCCTAGGATTCCAGCATTGGAGGGGGCAGAGCCAAGATACTTGGCTGCGATTTTACTAGTACCTCCTTCCTTCTGCCTTTTCCTTCCACCTCCAGACCCCTCCCACTAACCCCCAAGGAGCCTGCAGGAGACCCTCAGTTCTTCTCCTGCTTGGTCCACTGTATAATGCCTGCCCTCCAGTGGTATGGAGGCCTCATTATTGGATTCCCAAAGAATCTCTTTTTCTCCTCCAGGCATTGCTTTCAGGCATTCATCTCAAGGTGGATTTAGCAAATGCAAATCTGGTCATCAAAGCTCAGCAATGACCTGTGTATCTCTCACACACACACACACACACACACACACACACACACACACACACACACATATATACACACATACACACACATACACACACACACACAGTGATGATGAGTCAGCTTCAGTGGGTGGAGAGCCACAGCAACAAGGAACAACCAGGGATTCCTAGAGATGAAAATAGATGGGTTTTGTCATGCCAGAGATGCTGTTCCCTCCTCACGTGTTCACATTGGTGCCTGGCCTTGGTGCCCGCACTGCCATTAGCAGCGACAGGCACAGCTGAATTCATAGCAGGAAGGGAAAGAAAGAGAGAGGAGAGGACTGTGGCTCTCAGGTAAACACTGTGGTTCCAAGCTAGCCATGGTAGGGACTGCTATTAAAAACACCATTTCTTGTCCTAACCGGTTTGGCTCAGTGGATAGAGCGCCGGCCTACGGACTGAAAGGTCCCAGGTTCGATTCCGGTCAAGGGCATGTACCTTAGTTGCAGGCACATTCCCAGTAGGAGGTGTGCAGGAGGCAGCTGATTGATGTTTCTAACCCTCTATCCCTCTCCCTTCCTCTCTGTAAAAAATCAATAAAATATGTTTTAAAAAAAAAGAAAGAAACCACATTAGCCTCTTTAAAAAAAACACACCATTTCTTGCTTTCTGAACATAAAATGGCAGTGTAGGAAGCTGGGATACTGTGCTGACTCATCATCACTGTGTGTGTGTGTGTGTGTGTGTGTGTGTGTGTGTGTGTGATACACAGGTCATTGCTGAGCTTTGATGACCAGAAGCTGGGATACTGTGCTAATATCAGAACAATCTCTGAGAGCTTCTTTTAAAACATCAAGCCTACTTTCAGCCATTGCCTTGCTCTCCTTGGAAAGGAGTTGGAATAGAAATACAAATTAAGTGAGAACTCTTTTTTTAAAAAATATATTTGTATTGATTTCAGAGAGGAAGGGAGAGGGAGAGAGAGAGAGAGAAACATCAATGATGAGAGAGAATCATTGATTGACTGCCTCCTGCATGCCCCCGACTGGGGATCGAGCCCACAACCCGGGCATGTTACCTTACCAGGAATCGAACCGTGACCTCTTGGTTCATAGATCGACCACTGAGCCGCACCAGCCAGGCCTAGATGAGAACTCTTAGTTGAGTTTCAGTTCATCAGTTTTGCTGAAAGACCATTCAAAGACAGATGTGAGCCATCCTTTCATCCTTTCCTTTTTTCTTTCCCTCCCTTTTTCCTTCCTCCCTTCCTAGTTTCTGAGCTTTCATTTTTTTTTCTTTTTATGCCCAAGAAGACTCTGCCACATGTCCCCCCACCCAGCAATCCCAGGCAGGGAGGGGCTTGATCCTGTGGCCTCTGAACTCAGCTTTCTCTGCCTGGTTTCATACAGGGAGCTGGAGAGATTGGCAAGGGAGTTGCATGAAAAGAAGCTACAACAGGAGCTTGAGCGGCAAAAGGAAGAAGATGAGCAAAAAAAGAAGACGAGAAAGACAAAGCAATTAGCACCAAAGGAGGAGCCAGCCCTGAAGAAATCTCAGCCCAGCCGGCAGGTAGCAACCCCCACTTGCTCCTTCCCACGAGGAGAAAGCAGAGGGGCCAGCCGTTGTAACCAGCCCTTCAGTCCAGCCCATTCCCCCCCCCCCCCAGAAAACTGACCCGATACTACTAGGTGGGTTTTATGTTGGAGCAGAAGGTAGGAGGAAAGGGACCAACATCTGTTGAGCAATGATTGTGTGCTAAGCTCTGGGCTTATGCTTCGTGCAATCCTGTCATTTTTGGCATCCTGGCCCCCACCCTTCGAGGTTCCAAGACAGGAATCCCGTTTGAGGTTGAGAGAGGGGAAGTCGAAATTCCAGGATCTCACCCAGTGATGTCCGACCACAGCCCTTGCTCTTTCCACCGTCTCTTCAAGCCCCCTGGACGGTGCTGAAGAGGCCGGTAGTAAAGATTTGCCTCCAGTAAGTTACCAAGTCAGCGACGCCCCTGTGCTCACCCAGGAGCTTGCCCTTGGTAACAGTCCAGGGAGAAGTTCAACATCAGCTTGTCCTTGCAGAACAAGGACCATCAGTGGGTCAACCTGTCAAGCTCGGAGGTCACATCTGTGTCCACTGTGATGGGGAAGGGGCCGAGCAGCCCAAGCAGCGCCCAGGTGGCCATCATGGCTGAGGGGTGCACGGGGGCTCATTCAGCGCTGTGAGTTCTGGGAGTGAAGTGACAGCCAGACTCCCAGGCAAGGTGCAGGCTGGTCCCAGTGGGTGAGCAAGAGTCCAGTGACCACAACACCCTGTGCCTCTCACAGGCACCTGAAAGCAGGTGTAGAGGGGCCATTCCGGGTCATCTTCTCCTGCTGATCCTGCAGAACACCAGCTCTCAACCAGAGTGCACATCAAAGTCTCTGTGCCCAACGCCAGGTCCCAGCGGGGCCTGTACCAAGGGAGGGCCGCAGAATGGACGTTTTGATAAAGGTCCCCTCAGTGATTCTTAGGCACAAGTCCACTGTACTTAAGTGGCTGGAATCCCGTGAGGACTTCTTACAAAACAAAACATCCTCTCGCTCTTTTTCATGTGATTCTGTGATCTGCTCTCCCTGAAAGAACTGTTTTAAGCCTTTGTTCTGTGTTTTGCCTTCTAGACTCTAACCTTTTCCAGACTAGAAGGCAAGATGGACTTGGTAGAACCAAAAGCTTCTGAGAAGGACCAGGGAATGGCTGAGAAGGACGAACTGAGCAAGAAGAAAAAGAACCAGGGGGCAGATAACAACGCTGGGTTTTCCCTGGTCCAGGATCAGGAGGACAGCGATGGGGACCTCCAGAAGGAAGCTGACAAGCCTCTGGCCCAGAAGTTTAAGACCTATGAGCTGACTCTGAAAGATATCCAGAACCTCCTCATGTACTGGGACCGGAAGCTAGGCATCCAAGTGCCTCACATGGGGGCTGAGGACATGACCCACGAGCCCGAAGACCAGCGCCAGGTCCCCTCGGGTGGGCGCAAAGGCCGCAAGGACCGGGAGAGGGAGCGCGCTGAGAAGGAGCGAGCGGAGAGGGAGCGCCTGGAGCGGGAGAGGGCCGAGCGGGAGCGGCTGGAGAGGCTCCGGGCGCTGGAGGAGCAGCCGGATGGAGGAGAGGTGGACAGGGAGGAGGACCACGAAGGGAAGAGGGACCTGGGTGTGCCATTCATCAATATCCAGACACCCGACCTTGACGGCTCCACGTGGAAGCAGGCCCTGGAGAATGACAAGCTTCCCAAAGGGGATCAGGTACAGACCCTCCTCCGGGATGGAGATGTAGCCATCAGGTAGCAGGTACTGTGCTAATGGTCGTGAAAGAACTTCTTTCTACATTAACATCTATATCCCCTTAAATCCATTCATCTCTGATACCCACCCCCCCTAGGTAAGACTAATGGCTAAAAGGGCCTTTTTCCATGTGGTGACAATCCATAAGAAGTTCCACAGATCAAAGTTATTCCATCTAACCTCCTGAAAAGCCACCTGCAGGGTGGATTTTTAATAGTGACGGTTCGGTGCTACATGCTGGCGAGGCCGGCAGATTTGGGGTGAAGCAAAAGGCTCAACCACTCAAAAACCTTTTTCCCACAAGCTTCCCACGGTAACAGAAATTATACTATGAGATAGCTCTTATGTTCCTAAAAACAAAAGATTTTGCATAAACGAAAGCCACCTTTGGCAGTGGTTATCACAGCCTTTTGTCCAGGGACAAACTTTGTCTACATTAAAACACTAGAAAGCATCTGCTGAGAACATTGAGGGGAAGGCGGGAGGTCTGAGCCACCCTGTTCTCTGGGGGAGGGGGTGAGAGGTAGCCCGCCTTCCGCGCAGCAAATTAACGAGGGGTTTTTCCTTTAGATCCTAGACTACTTGGGCCTGGGCTCCTCTGGGCTGCCCATCCCGCCTCCAGTCTTATTCTCCATAATCCCCTACCCTCCGAAGCGGCTGCCGTTGGCCCCAACGGAAATCATGAAGCATTTTATGTTTCTCATCCCACTCTCCGAAGAGCTGGCCCTGCTGGAGGAGAAAAGAGAGGCGGAATCAGAAGTAGACCTTTCGACGACCACCACCACCACGAGCTCCGCGAAGGTAAAGAGCGAGCAGGCATCCTGACCTTGGCCGTCTCCCTCCACAGGCCAGCAGCAGCGGAGCGTGGTGCTGGGTGTCACCCCGCTCAGGTGCTTCCCCTCCACCCGCCGGGGATCCTGCCGAGGACCCCGCACCAGCCTCTCCCTGGGTCTGACTTTTCCTACTTCCCGAGAGGAAAATGGAAATGACTGGCTTTCACCTTCCAACCTGTCCATTCCCCAGGCAGGGTCTAGGGAACTTGTCAGATTACTCAGAAGCTCATCTGTAAGAGAAAAGGAAGCAACACTAGTCTTTTAAAAAGATAGTGTAATGTATGCATGAAGCTAAGTAGTGTACGCAGTGCCTAAGAATACAAGAATTGACAGACACAGGTTAAGGGGACACACACCACTAGAGAAAAGACAGGTTACTGAAGAAACGGTGATGGGAAAATTGGCTATTTTATCTCCTTGCCGGATACAATGCAGTAAAATTAATTCCAGCTGGATTAAAAATATAAGCAACAAAATGAAATAATGTAAAAGTAGAAGAAAATATATACACTATGACGAAAGCAAATCACAAAGGGAAAATAGATTTGACCAGTGATGTGCAGAGGATGTGTACATTCAAAATTATGGAGGGCCTTTTCATTCCCAGAAGAGTAGGCTGGGCCAAAATTTGAATCTCTTCACATGACCTCCTACAAACCATGCACATCAGCAAAGACTAAATAAAATCAGCAGCAAATAGAGTTACCTTTAGGCCCTGCCTACAGCTCCAGTGGATGACAGAGAATGTGCCCGTCTTCAATGTATAAGCAAGCAGGAAGTCAACATCTTCGCTGAGCGGCAGCCGTGGGCAGGGCTTACTAGAGCAGGGCCCAGATGAAAAAATAAAGAAAACTTGCCACCTCAGAGGTGACTATGACTCTTTTCTGAAAATTGGCCATTTCCAGGAAAGAGTTGAGCATTCTTTAGCTTAACCATTTTAGGAAGAACTCTAGTCTATCTCCAATTGACAAAGGAAAGTTCTTCATTCTAGAAGAATGACAGCTGACATTATAGAAAGAATAGAATGAGAAAAGTATTATTCTGTTATCCGCAGTGGACAGGGGATGATTAAGGCACTCCAGTGGGTACAAAAAGCAGCAGTTTGTTGGGGAACGAGACACGCACCGGAGCCAGAGTGTCATCCCGCAGGTGACTGGTCCGCTTTGGAGGGAAAAGTCTTTCATGGCCACATCTGGCAGGCACCCCTCCAGCCACACGAACACAACTTTGCATCTGTCACTGTGGGCCAACCTGGCATTATCTGTCCCCCACTCTGGCGGAGTGTGATGCACACGGCATCCTCTATAAATCTAATCAGGCTTTGAAGCCTAATTTTCAGTGTATAGAAAATACAGGGAATAAAGGAGTAAGTTAGATGTCACTCTGAGAACAGTCAGAAAATTTCAAACTATGGAATATCCTGTAAGAACACAGAACTGGTATCTCCAATCAGTGTGACTGGGAGGGGGCACGCGGTCCCCATCAAAAGATACTAAAGAGCCTTGGCCAGTTTTGCTCAGTGGTTGGAGCATCGGCCAGCTCACTGAAGAGTCGTGGGTTTGATTCTTGGTCAAGGGCAGGTGCCCCTGTTGCAGGTTCACTCCCCATCCCCTGATTGGGGCACATGTGGGAGGCAGCCAATCCGTGTGTTTCTCTCTCTCTCTCTCTCCCCCTCCCGCCCTCCCTCCCTCCCACTCTCTCTCAGGAAAACAATGCAGGGGAAAATATCCTCAGGTGAGGATTAACAAACAAAAAAAGATACTAAAGAAACACCACAAAATGCAATATAGGAACCCAGTCCCTGCCAGAGCCAAGCTTTCTTTAGGTCTTGGCCTCCTCAGGGAATGGCCCCGTTCTGGACTTCTCTCCTCTACTTCTCTTCTACCCCGGTGTGGGGGGCCGGGCCCTGCCCGCTCCAGGCAGCCACCAGCATCCCCAGCCTGCGGCACGTCACCCCGGCCTGCAGGCAGCTGTAGGCATCTGTGTCTCCTGTTCGTACGTAAGTAAGATGAGCACGTGAGACCTTGTGCTCATTTCTGATTTAACCCCAGGAGGAGCCGAACACCTCGTCTAAAGGGAACAAGCAGAAGCCGAAAGAAAAAACAACAGAGCAGGTTCGGGATACTCTGAAGGACAAACGCCGCATCGCCTTCAACAGGAAGGGCCTTTCTGGGGCCATTTCTGGCACCGTTTCCCCCCTGTCAGACATGGACCAGAACAACTTGTCTGGGCAGCACTCCCAGGACAAATTCATCAGGTGGGCCCCCAAGTAACCGCAGCCGGGCGGGGCGGGGGCGGGGGGGAGGGGGGGGAGATGTCCAAGCCCCACGTGGAGGGGGCGGCTGTCAGGGCACCGGATGGGAACAGGGCGGCTCTGCCTGTGGGGCCCTGCAGACCGCCCTGCAGAACCCCAGCAGGACAGGACTCCTCCCGGGCAGCAAAGGGAGCATTCTCACTTGAAAAGCAGTGTGGTCATTTGCAGGTTGAATCATTTCCGGTGGATTGTGCCGGCCAATGGCGAGGTGTCGTTGAGAATGCAGTTCTCTGCTACTGATCTCGGGAACTATGACCAGACGTTCAACTTTGAGATCCTTGGAACTTGCCGCCAGTACCAGCTTTATTGCCGTGGTGTTTGCGCTTATCCATACATTTGCCAAGACCCAAAGTAAGTGTCTTTTATTTTCAAAGAAAGACAGACACATTTTAGTTCTCCTCCATGCTACTTTGAACAAGGAGGCTCATATATATATTAGAGGCCGGGTGCACAAATTCATGCACATTGAAAGGAAATTAATTAGAAGGTGGCTAGAGGGGCGGGATTGGGCGAGACGGGCTGGACATGCCCTGAAGCCAACCTCCTGCGGTCCCTCCCCATCCGGCTGCACCTGGGGCAGTACCAGGGCTTTAAGGGCATCTGCAGAGTGAGCGGGATCCCTCTGGCAGGTAGGGTCCCTTGGCCTGGCCTGTGGGGATTGGCCGAAACCGGCAGTCTGACATCCCCCTAGGGGTCCCAGAGTGTGAGAGGGCACTCTGCAAAGTTGCTGTCGCTCAGCAGCTCCTGCGTTGAGTGTCTGCCCCCTGGTGGTCAGGGCTCATCATACCTACCAGCTAGTCAGCCAGTCGGCTGGTCTGCCAGTCGCTTATCCTTGTATATATATACATATGAGTGAATTTCAGAGAGGAAGGGAGAGGGAAAGAGAGATAGAAACATCAATGATGAGAGAAAATAATTGATCGGCTGCCTCCTGCACACCCCTTACTGGGGATCGAGCTGCAACCCAGGCATGTGCTCTGGGAATCAAACCGTGACCTCCTGGTTCATAGGTCAATGTTCAACCACTGAGCCATGCCAGCTGAGCTGAACAAGGAGACCCTTAAAACCAACATGGAACTGGGACAGACTCCCAGACCCTTTTGTACTGGGCTTTAGTGTCTTGGACACGGACTAAGCCACAGGAATGACGTGATACCATGAGACTGAGATGAAGCTAATATTTGACCAGTTACTTTGCTTATTCAACCAATAAGCAAACAAACAGATTTTATATTTAGTCTAAGACATTTTATGCTGAAATAGGTGTGAATCTCCATGGGTGCACTTTTTTATGAGCCCCCTATGAACCCCAAAAAGGCACCTGGCCCAGCAGGCTAGTGGGGCAAGCACACCTCCCCGCCTCCAGGGAAGGAGCCTTTTATAGCTTGTCCACCAAGAGGGCCTTTTGCAATTTTGATTAAGGAGCCACCTTGGACGAGGAACTCAGGAACTAGTTAATATCTGCAAGAACTAGTGTTCCGTGGGATTCTTGGGAATTTTTCTAGCTGGCACACCAGAACAGGTCATCCCACTCAGTTCTGTCACCAGCCCCTCATTATGAAAGACAGTAGTGGGAATCTTTTTTCTCAAGTTCAAACTGCACTGTTTTCACTCAGGCCAGGGGAAGGGAAGGAGAAGGAATAACGGCTCAACAAAAGTCTTCAAAATTAAGAATCATCTGTCTCCAGACACCTGGACCCTCTGCTGACCAGGGAGTGTTGGGTTCCTGTAAACATCAGGGGGTGGCATTGAACTTCCTCTCAGGCAGCCTCTCCTCTTCTCTTCCTCCCCTGTGTCCAGAGTGGTATTCCCTCAGCGGAAGATGGACATGAAAGCAGATGAGATCGTCTTTAAGAAGTACATTATCAGCACGGACACGTTTTACTTTGGGCCACTGCTTTGTGGAAAATCAAGAGATAAGTAAGTGTGCCATTATCTCGAGGCAGATTTTAGACCCCTGGGTTGGGCTCACGAGTGTCACAAGCAGAGTTTCTCTGTAGACATAGCTTTTATTAATGCTGCCTCAGTCCCTGAACCACAAATTGGGAGAACTGAGTTCTTGTTCCCCAAGTTTCTGCTAAGATGAATGGGGGTGCCATTTTCCAAGATGGGAGAGCCTGGAAGAGGACCAGGTTTTGGTGAGGGGGGAGGGATAGGATCAAGAGTTCACTTTGGGATGGGTTAAGTTTGAGATGCTTGGAAGATATACCTTGCAGCCACATAAAGCAGGGAATAGGCTATACAGTTTTGGTTCTCAGAGTTTTGTTGCCTGTCCTCAAGACAACAAAAGCTATGGGTGTGGATGAGATTGCTGGTGAAGAGAGGATACAGTAAGGAGAGAAGGGCCTCAGACGGAGCCCTGAAGAATTCCACCACACTCAAGAGTTGAAGCCAGCACAGGAGATGAGAAAGAGGGCCAGAGCTATTGTCAGAAACCAGAAAAGAGTGGGGTCATGGAGCCACGAGAGGAGGGTATTATTGCCCACAGTTGAATGTTGCAGAGAAGGTAAAGAGATGAGGACATCAGTGTCCACAGGATTCAACAACATGGAGGTCCCCAGGGGCCTTAGCAAGAGCCCTTTGGGGGGAACTTCTGAAGATGTAGCCCAAGTGCAGTGATTTGAGGAGTCAGTAGAAGGTGAGAAAACGGAGGCGAGGTGTGAAGATAGCTCTTGGGGACAGCTCGGCTGTGAAGGGAATTGAGAATGGGAGGGAGACGTGGAGTCCAGGGAAGGCAGTTCATACACGGTTGTTCTTACAATGTTTGGATGCCAAGGGGAAGTAGGGAGGGAGAGGTTGGGGTTGCAGGAGAAGGTATGGGCCATCAGCTCCCTGAGACAACACAATGGGATGTGTAGGTATTG